TCTCCACCGAATCTATTCGTCTTAATCTTTGGTGTCTTCTAGTTTCTAACGACGGCGGTCTATTGTCTAATATTCTTAACTTCTAAGGACTGTTTGTATCCTATTACACTCTGAAATTCTTGATTCCTTCTGTTTCTTGTCAACCCCTTGTAAACGATTATCTCTTGATCTCTATAGGCCATTGACGACCTCGATACTTCTGTTATCATGATTCCCGATACATTCTTCTAGCTCTTTTAATTATATTTCGTTTTAATCCCAAATTATCCTAGTCTTTGCTTGTTTCTAACGGTTTCTAGTAACTAATGACGGTAAACGACTGACGATAATTTGTCTGCGAGTAACGATTGTTTACACGACTTCTTGTTTCTAAGATCATCGATTTTTTATCCTATACTAAAGTTTTGATAAGCAATTGGCGATAATTTGTCAACGATTAACGATAGCATCCTGGTCTTGACCACTTGTTCTACCTAGTCGCTTGTCAAGATATCCACGTTGCCTTAAGATCTCTTATACGATAATAATTTCTTGTATCTTTTGATCCAAAATAAAAATCCGATCTCTAATTGAGCTCGATTGCGGCATATATTTTCTAATGACGAAAAGCCGTTTCTCTTTATGAAGATTTTGGTTAATCAACAACCTGATATTTTGCTAAATATTATCAACTTAAATAACAGTTAAACGTATATCTTTAATAAAAATTTATAACGAATTTCTTTTAGCTACATCGATCACTTGTACGTATAACGATCTCTTGTGACGAATTCTTTTTAGCTAAATGACTAGTTCTATTCTTTTCCGAAATACGACCATTAATATTGATACCATTGTTTTATTGCTCTCCTTCTTTGTCTTAGTGTCGATACTCTTTTCATACATCCCCTTCCCCCTTTATTTAGAATTTCTTTTCAGAGTTAATTAGACTGAATTGTTGAAATTGCCCTGTCACCTCCACTCTCCAACATTATTGTAACATTTTAGTATTTTAAGTAAACTGAATATGTCCATAGAATATAATGTTTCGGCCAACAATTATAGTGGTTGAAAGAATTTAGAGAATAAAATAAATAGTATAAATAAATTCTAATACTTTATTAATTAATATAAATACTAATTACATAATTATAAATAAGAAATTAAAATAATATAATTAGTATTTATATTAATTAATAAAGTATTAGTAGTTAATTTATTTATACTATTTATTTTATTCTTAAAAAATATAATGAAGGAAAGTATAAACATGAAAATTTAAATATAATATCATAATTAATTATAATGTTTATGATTTATTATTTAATTTTGAAATTGAAATATATTTTCAATTTGTAATTTATATTTTCATTTGTATTATAAACATAAATCACGTGTTAATAATTTAAAATGTCTGCCTATGGATATCCAATTCGTTGAAAGTGATTCAGACAATGATATTATTGAAATGGAAAATACCGGGAAGAAAATGTTCTTAATAGCTATAATACAAATTTCCCATTCACTAGATTTGAAAAATTTTTTAAAATAAATATAAAAACCAAAACTGGCTTCATATTTAGTTGTATAAAACGTAAAAAAAATATTTCCTCAAATGAATCCAGTTATAAGCTCAAGAAAAACCAAAAGGTAAATTGTCATTTTTACATTCTAGTAGTATTTATTTTATAAGACTGTTCATACCAATAGCTTTAAGGAAATGGAGTAACATTTAAATAATTTTGGTATAGGCGACTCTAGATCCAAAATACTAATTCAATTCAAATAAATTAATAATCCAAATGTCAATATTTCTCAGAAATTGGCTGATAAAGTTATTGTTGATTTTATAATTGATACAGTTCAGATCCATCATTTACCATGATAATTAAAACTATCCCTGATACAACAATTTTATGTCGCCAGACATTAATGAATAAAATAGCAGATAACTTTAAAGTGATGAAAGATGCGATAATAATAGTTATCAGAGATATCATATATATGTACCACGGCAGATAGTTGGACACATAACACTAAGTAAAAACTTATAAAATGCAACAAATTACCATAAATATTTATTTTTATTACATAAATTTTTTTATAATCAAAACTAACTATATTTTAATATTTATAAATGTTGATTTTTTTATATTTAGACAATAACTTTATAAGCAAAAAATAAAACAAATTTGTTTCATAAAAAGTAGCTTAAAAAGTAGCTAAAGCTACTTTTAAAAAATAATAGCTAATAGCGAGTTACTTTTTTTTGACAAATAGCGATAGCGGTAGCGCGCTACTTTTAAAAGTAGTGATTAACAACTCATAGCTTATTCGGTCCAATGATAATATCATACAATCATTCATTTATTTAAGCTACCATTACATATATACTAGAATTCTTAGTATCAAATTTGTAATTTGTTTATTTTTCATTTGGACAAATTTATTTATAACTTATATTTAAAAAATCGTGAATTTTGAAAAGCGTCTGTGGCCTAATCGACAAGAGCGTCACTTACAAATCTGTTGGCTTTGGGTTGTTCCATCCTTGGGAGATGATATACAGGAAGTCGGACTCGACCACGTGATTCCATTATAATATCTTTTATCTATAATCATAGGTCTGTAATTTTGCAATTTGGTAAATCAATGGAATTGTTATCATGGCATGTGATGATATGTGATATTTTTAATGATGATTTTATATAATACCTCACCAGAATACAAAAAATATAGCCTAACCATTCAAAGGGTTAATATTTAGAATTTCACAGTATCAATGTTTAAATTATCAAATATTTCTTACAATAAAGATTTTATTGAAGAATGGATATATTTGAATTTTATACAATTCTTTTAATTAGGTAATTTTTATGCATAAATAAATATTTGCATTTATATGATTAATATTCGATAGTTGATCATGACAAAAATTAGAATTTTATGAATTAAATTGAAAGCCATGCTTTATGAATTATCACTTTCATGAAATATCATAGATCTGTAATTTTGCAACTTGGTAAATCAATGGAATTGTTATTATGGAAGCAGATTTTAGTTTTGTTATTTAATTCAACTCAATTGCCATTAGCATGGCTGATATTTTTAAAATTTTGCCATTTATTACCATATTGGCTATTTCATGTTATGTATGCAACTTTCAACTGAATACCTCTCATATATTTTCTGAAGATTTGCCTTTTTACATGCATTCCTTAGTTTTGTATATTTTCTCATCACTTTATAATTGTTGAATGTATGTTATTTATATAACTTATTATAACATTTTTGATTAAATGCATAACCTATTTTTAAACTTATATATAATTTGACTGATTGAAATTAACCTACTATTATTTGTTAACTTAGAATATCTTTTTATTTTTTCTATTGTAATTTAATAACCTGGTCTTAAATTTAATTTTTATTTTGTACCTAAGTAATAAATCATTTATTACTTGAAGGGGTGGTTGTCTGTTTAAAATTTAAATTAGGATGAACATATTTTCACTAATTTTTAAAAGGCATGGTACTTTAATATGTATACATGAATTTCATATAATTGTCAGGAGTTATCCAGTAGAATGATGGGTAGTAAATCAGATATTAAACCTTCATTTGATAATAAATTATTTTGAAAAATTTTTCCAATAATATAGAATGGCAAAAAAATGTAGTACATATTAGACAGATTTTATTCTTATAAACCCCTTACATTGGATCTATTTTTCTGGAAAATTTTTGCTGTGGGAAATATTTTTCACAATTAATATGGGCTTGGACCTGGTTTGGGAAAAAATTTTTAAAATTATTATGGTCATAGCTTAAAAAAATTTTAATTTCAAATATGGGTTAGACATTGGCCTGAAATTTTTTTTTGAAAACATGGTCCCGATCAAAAAACTAAGGCTCATGCTAAAAAAAATAGTATTCATTTTTGGGTTGACCTTGGTCTAAAGTAGGAGTGAGCGGGGTTAAAAAGAATAAAAAATAGAGATGGTTTTTAGAGATTTACCTATCACCAGGCTGGGAATAAATTTTGAAAATTACTATGGGTTGGCCAGGCTAATTGTTATGGGTTGGGCTGGACTTGGAAGATATTTTTATAAATTATTTTGATCTGGACTTGGGGAAAATTTTTCAAAACTATTATCAGCTTGGACGCTTGGAAATTGTTTTATTAACTATGGGTCAGACAGTAGCCTAAAACAAATATTTTTGCAGGCCTTGGCTAGGTCTGATCAAAAAACCAAGGTCCATAAAAATCTGATTTTGATTGTATTTTTAAATTCATTATGATTTTTTAAATATTTTACTTTAGTTCTCAACTAACAAAATTATTATGATCTTTCATTGGGCTTGGAACAATTTTTTCAAAATTATTATAGCGTACTTTGCTTGGGAATTTTTTTTTAATATTAAATATTAGGCATAGGTGATCAGTAATATTTAAGAAATGATATTGATTTTATTAAGTAAAAACTATATATTTTGACTCAAACCATAGAATTTACACTTAGTTTTAATGGATTGAACCTGGCCTGATGGGGGGGGGGTTATAAATAATAAGATATTATTTTCAAATATCAGGTAACAACTATCATAAAAGTAAGGAGGAAATTCTCATTCCCCGTCATTTTTGACGGGCTATCTACTAGTATTAAAATAAAATTAAATGCTTATTCGATTTTTGGCATAGAAAATATGGATTTTTTAATAACATTTGGTTAAAAGGGAGGATGGGGGTGGGGGGTAAAAAATCAATATAAATATCGGATCGGTTTTGAACAAATATCGGATCAGAGAATAATATGTGGATTAGCACAGCCCTAATTATGGCTTACCCCAACAATCAGCTACACGTTGATAAAAAAATAATTAGTTTTTATGTGCAACAAAATGCTAAATAAGCTTATATTTATAGCTGATTCATTATGTTAGTTTTTTTTAAAAAAAATGACAAATCAAACATATTTCATTTCAAAATAATTATATCTAAGCAAGAATTTATATGCCTTTATTGAATGTTTTCTAAAAGAATTCATTGATAAAACAAATAATAATTTTTGAAAATATATTCATCATAAAATTATTTGATTATCGATGTAATTATCTAATTTAAAATAATATCGAAGTGTCATATTAAAATAAAGTTTAAAATATACACGCTTTATATATTTTTCTATGGTGACTAAACGACTAAAAAGGAGTTCATCTAAAGTTGCATTTCTTCTAATTCTGAATCGGAATCTATTAAATATTAAATAAAACATAATTATTTTTTTTTCTTAAATAGGTTTTATATATAACCTTCGTAATGTATTAAATTGTGCGAATCTCTGTCAATTTGATTGACCATAATCCTACTTTCAATATCTTCTGTCCTGTATTGAGCCTATATATATTTTTTAATAAAATAAGAACATATTAATAAAGATTATAATTAATATTCAATTTTTTTTTAGAATAAATGACTCTATTAGGCTAAGGTCATACCAAATAGTTTAGTTCTAGCATTCGAGAAGTTTTAGTTGTAATTAGAAAAAAATCAAATTAGAATTATATAATATAATTAGTTTTATAAATCATACAGGGTAGCTTTAAATATATTATATTCGGAATTAATATAAGTAGTAGGCTTACGATAAAAAATTTAATGCGAAAACACTTGAAATATTTAAATTTAAAAAAACAGTACTTTACAGCGCTCGATTGCAGGCTTGGTATCTTTTAATATTATGCGCTCGAACGCTTTGGCATAAGCCCTTAGACCTGTCAAATGGATTGACATATAACCCGTGTTTTATGGATTTTAAAATATAATTTTTCACCTATAAGAGTGAGTCTACATGTTTAAAAAATCTAGTTAATTTAGTATAAACGGAATTTTGTATGTGAATAAAATTACTATAAATTCAAGGGCAGTTAAAATTAGATTCCGAATTTGACCAATGTATATAAGAACAGTTTATTCAAATCGTTTATGGTCAAATAAGAAGCAACGGACGAGATCGCCCATATGGGGTGGAGGTAAAAATAATTTTAAAAAATATGCAACGGGAGGTGAAATATTTTTTATGCACATAGAAGAGAACGACTTATGTTTATTAAAAATTAAATCTTTATTTCCCAATACTGCATATTTAAAAAAAAATTAATCTATAACCAAACTAAATTGGATGAGCGGGTTAGATAAAATTTATGGAATAGATGGACGGGGGAGATTTCTAGTTTAAATTGGAGAGGAGTCATTGTAAAAAAATATGATGCGGCTTTTATCAAGATAAAAACTTGTAATTTTGTTTGATTTATTATCCCTTTGAGCCTTAACATCTTAGGCATATATGACGTACGTTCGGAAAGTAATTCTTGAATAGCAAATAATCGCCGATATAATTCTGGAGTCTAGTTTTGTAATATATATTTCAAAAAAATAAATATTACAATGAAAGTTACAGGTTTTGTTTATAAAATTATCAATGACGGTTATAAATTATAGAGGTGGATAGTTCCAATGAAATGAGAATTTAAAACATTAGACTGACAATAAATTCATATTCGCAAGCTGTTAGAATTAAATCCGATATCCTATACCAACTTTAAATTATGGTTAATATAATAGTTTGGATCTACACTAATACATATGGTTATAATATAATGCAAATAGAGTAGTGTCAGTGGCTCAATCGCTATAGAAGTTGTTTGATGAATTACTTTATACTTAAACCTAGGTTCGAATCCAGCAAGTACCGGTTTTTTCTGAAACAAGCTAGGTTAGCTGATCGGAAGCTAATGTATAATTCCGTTAATATATATTTATAATGCGTTTTATGTATTTAAATAAAATTTGGTCGTTGTTTAGAAAATTACTATTTCCAAAACGGTATGTTTAACATATATCTATATAAATAATCCTCGAAAAAAGTCATTCAAATTTAGCAAATAGTGTTCTTTAAAAAAATATTAGCCCAATAAAAATCATTATAGCTTATTCGGTCCAATGATAATATCATACCAAATTAGGTTATATCATAAACATCTTCTACTTATAACATATATACTAATACAATCTTATATTAATATTACACTTCTTACATAATTAATACATATAAGTTTTTTTAGGATATACAACAGAATTATAGGAAAAGAAAAAAAGCAATGATATCCAACAATCAAGTATAATTTTTTCAGCTTCTTTGTAATTATATTATATAAATTAGATTTCGCGATTCATACTCCCAAAATCTACCATTCAACAAAACCCAAATCTAAATACAAAAAAAAATCAAGTTAAAAATTTTAATTTATGTTAACGAATATTTAAAATTTTTGAAATTAGATTACACGATTCATACTACCAAAATCATAAAACCAAGTTAAATTTTTTAATTTAATTACTATTTTATAATTTGAACAACATACCTTTCAACAAAACCAAATTCAAAAAATAAAAAAACCATATTAAAAATTTAAATTTATGTTAACAAATTATTTTGATTTATTCAAATAAAGTAAAAATTTCTAAACATATTTCATATTTAAAAAGTTCTAATGGTAAAGGAAAGGAGAAGGATGTTTGAACATTATTTTTAAATAGCTTAGAGTCCGTTAAGAATAACGCGCTTAATAATTTCCTTATTTGATGATGGATAAATAATAAATTCCACCGATGGGGATCAGAAATTGCCCAGCACATGTTTACAACAGAGCCGGGCGATCTCTGATTTGTTTTAATTACAAAAATATTAAATTGCATGTATAATTTTTAGCAGGCCTCAGATTTATTTTAAGTACAAAATTGTAATTACAATTAATATTATTTGTTTTAGATAGATATTCCTGCACAACAATCATTGTTACAAGAATTTTATTGTGGCTTACTCAACACTTAGTTCGAATATTGTGTTAAAATTTTTCTTTGGAAAAACCCTCAGATGGCAGGTTCAAGAATTGCTGTCATGAGGGTAAAGTTAAGATACCATCAATCAGATATATTCCTTTTATCAAATCCTAACAATGAATTTCATTTAATCTTTATGAAACATATCCGTTCTTATAATAGTTCTCTTGCATTTGCATCGATGGGTGCACAGATTTCTAATAGTTTGAACCCGGGCCCATATTGTTTAAGAGTTCATGGGCAAATTTCACTGGACATCTCATTTATATCCTTCCACTGGGATGCCTCCCAAATTTGCACAACTATATGTCCTTGTAATATTTAGGGTGGTAATAAGAGACATTGTTTCCGTGTAAAAAATCTTAATTATTTGATGAAATTTTTTTAAAATCTTATAAACGGGAGCAAGGTGTATATTTGTGTCCTTGCAATAAGAAAATGTCTCATGAACCGGGATGTCTCGACTATACTGAAGCAATGGGTAGCCCTAATATCTATCATCCTTTCATAGAATGGTTTATAATAGTTTTTTTTATAAGATATAAAAATAATCGGGGAATCAGAATTTTCTTCCTTATTCAATGATGGATGAATAATAAATTTTCCTATCTTATGAGATGTGATTCAGAAATTTGTATTTATTAGATAGATTATAATTTTCCATTATTTTTTATAAAATATGTTTATAAAGTATATATTTAGCAATTTTAATTTATGTGTACAATAAAAAATCTTTTAAACTAAATTTTTATTATTTTGTATTTGTATGTTATAATCTAAAATATTCTTGCTAGATAAGTTTTATAACTTATTTTCGATTTAACTTTGCCCCACAAAACTCTCTTCAAGCAAGAATATAATTTTTAGATTATAAATTACAAATGAATAAAAATTTATTTAAAAAAATTATTTATTTGTGCAAATAAATTAAAATTACTAATATAAATTTCTGAATAACATCTTATAAGATATTAAAATTTCTGATTCCCCGTCATTATCAGTTAGTTAACCTTATATTATTGGATTAATTAAAATAACGTTCAATTAGTCCTTTTCAAATTTCATATTAATAGTACGATTGCCATTTTAGTGATAAATAATATTGTCCATGGATGGTTGGTTCTGACAGTTTCTCTTATCAATAAAGACACATAATTCGACTATTTTTATAGAGAATATATTTTATCAATCAGAAAAAACTTTTTATTGATAAATATAAAAAAGATTCTAAGAGAAAATAAGAAAGTGCGTGAGTACATTTTTTTTAGTAAGCCTCCATAATATAATTAATAATCATATATAATATAAATGTATACCGATATGATGTAGGAAGAATGATACAACATTATGTTATCGAACCATAGAAGCATGCATTTCATCCTTAAAATGCGTAAATTAATTTTTTTTACTATAAATATCTTAACGGTGAATAAATTATTGTAAATAACTGTAAGTGTATTCTTTTATAAAAAATTTCAAATTTTAGTATTATATTACTTTTTTGAGTAGAAAAAGTAATGAGTAATGGTAACGGAATAATTTCTTAAAGTAAACTATACATAACTACAATATTAATTTTAAAATTTTCAATAAAACAAAAATGTATACATAAAAATAATCATTACTCTTTAGTCTTGCAAAATGAGAGTCTGTTACCAATCTCGAAGATAAAAGCAGACAACCATTTCAAAGGAATTCTCATAACCGTTTCCTTTATGACATTAAAGTTCGTCTTCATGTATAATATATTCTAATATATCAAAAAATAAAATAACGTGTAGTTTATTAATCAATAAAGAAAAACAACAAATATTTATATAAAATTAACCTCCCCCCCCCCACAAACAAGATATATTTTTTGAAAATTATAAACTACAAAAGGTTCTCTCAATAATGGATCTTACTTTGGCTTGTTACAAAATTTGTCAAAAGGGACTTGATAAAATGGTCAATTTGGGTTATTAGATTTTTATTCTTAAAGATTTCACATGCAAAATATAACATTAGCCATTCCCCATCCATAGTCACTACTAGACCGGCAATTTTAAATAATATGAGGTGGATATTTTAGATCGCTTGGTGGAATTTAAAACCTAAAATATTGCAGTGAACTTTTTGCACATTTCATATTTTATTTTGAATTTTCATAATTTAATTAACAAGTTAATTTATTTCAACGGTGTCACTTTTAAAAATTATAACACATTGAGCAAGACACCTCGAATGTAGAATTGTGATCATGAAAATAAAAAATTAAAATTTTTAATAAATTTTATTATTATAGGCTATCTATTTTACTAAGCATAAATCTGTCATTCTAGATGGTGCATTAATAAAATTAAAAGTATGCATGGTTTATTCATTAGAGAAGATAATTATATACAAAATCTCTTATTTCTTTCCCATTTAGTAAAATATAAAAGTAAATATGATTTCTTTATTTTTGTTTATCACCAAATTCAATCAACAAACTCCCATGATATTAAGTTTCAAGCAGTGGTGTAGCTAGGAATTTTCCTTAGTTGCTCGGCCTTCGGCCGGGTTTATCTTACAAATCATAACCATATCTTCGATAATATATAATAAATATATTTTTAAATGTATCAATAATATGTTATTATAATTTATTAGATTATTCTCAATGACTTTATAATAATACTATCCAGAATAATTTCAATAGTAATATAATATCCTTCCACAAACATCAAAACCAGAAAAATATAATTTAAATAAAATCACTTTTAAGTCTTTTGAACGTATAATCTAAAAAAAATTTTTGCTCTGGGAGGGATCCAAACCCGAAAACCACCACCGTAGCTACGCCACTGGTTTCAAGTATTTCAATATCTTCGAGATTGGCCATTCGAATTTCAAATACATAATAAATATCCGATATTTGTGTCGATTCATCTAAGGTTCAAGAAAGATTCAGTCATTATTATTGTTTATAAGGACTAGAAAGTATCCATCAATATTATATATATATCTAATAAATAATTTAAATATTATTTTATAATAATTAGAGAGGAATAAGAAGAATAAAGCATAGTTTAAAGCCAACAAAAACTTTTATTAAAATTTTTATATTTTATTTATTAAAACCAGGGTTCTGTACAGAGTTGTTAAACTCTATTTTTAAAAGTAGCGCGCTACCGCTATCGTATTTGTCAAAAAAAGTAGCGCGCTTTATTTTTTAAAAGTAGCTTTAGCTACTTTTTATAAAAAAAATTTACAAATAAATTTGTTTTATTTTTTGCTTATAAAGTTATTGTATAGTAAATATATAAAAATCAACATTTATAAATTTTAAAATATAGTTAGTTTTGATTATAAAAAAATTTATGTAATAAAAATAAATATTTATGTAATTTGTTGCATTTTAATAATAAAATTATTTCAATATTATCATCCCCAAGTCTAGAGCGACGATCAGATTTACCTTACTAAATAAACTTTCGACACTAGCACTTGAGGGCAAGAGAGTATTTAATCTTATATACATATTTTTAATATAAGATAGATTATCAAAAATACTCATTTGGATATTTTTTGATTTAAAGGCGTCGAGTGGATTTTTTTTTATACTATCTTTTATTTCAAAAAAATTATTAGTGGAAGTCTTCATGGTTGTAATTGGGCCATCTTTGAAGGAGACTATTAATATCAATGACACCATCATCTATTTCCTCCTCTTCCAATACATGTTGACTATCATTCTGTATCTCATCTTCAGCATTATCTTCACCAAATATTCTATATTCTTAAATAAGACAAATTAATCCAGTTTTTAATAGAAATGTGTAGTAATATTTAAGATGGAGTGGAAAAATTTTGGTAGGTATTCTAAATTTTGAACCTCAGGAATTATGATGTAATTAAGCAAAATATTTTATCAAATGAATACATTGAATTCCGTGTACTGTATATAAATTGATGGCAATTAATTAATAAGAAATAAATATTAAAAATCTACTATTAGAATGTAAAAATGACAATTTACCTTTAGGTGTTTCTTGAGGTTATAGCTACTACTAGATTGATTTGAGGAAATATTTTTTTACATTTTAAAAAAATAAATTTGAAGCCATTTTTGGTTTTTATATTTATTTTAAAAAAATTTTCAAATCTAGGGAATGGGAAATATGTATTATAGCTATTAAGAATATTTTCTTCCCTGGTATCTTCCATTTCACTAATATCATTGTCTGAATCGTTTCAACGATTTGAATATCCATAGGCGATGACATTTTAAATTATTAACACTTGATTTAGGTTTATAATACAAATGAAAATATATTACAAATTAAAATATATTTCAATTTCAAAATTAAATAATAATTCATAAAAATTATAATTAATTATGATATTATATTTAAAAAATTTTCATGTATATACTTACCTACATTATATTTTTTAAAAGTAGCTGAAAATTAAATAATTACAAAAAAAGTAGCCGCTATTAGCTATAGCTACCAAAAAAGACGCACTATCTGGTACTGTATTTGATCGGTCAAATACGATTCTGTCAATTGACCGATATTTGAAAGGTCAAATATTGTCAAATTAAAATTGAAGTTTTTTAAGACAATATTAACTTTATTTTGTATAAAATAGTAAAATGAATCTAAAATATTAATTTAATAATATTTTTTAAATTCATTGTCATTCAAATGTTTGGCTCTCCGTGGTAGAGTTTTATTCTGATTCATATTCAATATTATCATTTTTTCTTAATTTTCCTTTTATCGAGATCTTCAATCGATTTCTGTGTTAGTAAAAATATTAACCCAAATCGACCAATCTGAAGAAGTAGAACTAAGAATTGTTAATAAAATACCCAGGGTTGTGTATTTGACCGGCCAAATATGATTTTGTCAAATGACCGATATTTGACCGGTCAAATTCAAATAAATGTTTTTAATTTTAAATATAATAGTAAAAAATGAATCTATGTAATATTAAATTATATAATTAATGGTTCGCTCTCTATGGCAGAGTTTTATCCTGATTTATTCAATATTAACAGTTACTTTAATATTTTTAATCAATCCTAGGTTATGATATACTATTACTCTAACTAATTTCCTGGTTGTCGAGATCTCCAATCGATTTATTTTCTTCGTGTGAATATTCCCTCAAACCTACCAATTATTTTCTGAAAAAGAAGTATAACTAGGAATGGTTAGTAAGATATTATACACTTTTCTTGATGTTCAAGATAGGTAAAGCCCATTCCAAAAACTTGAAATCGAAATCTGATTGTTTTATATAAGTTACTGCTTTCCATATATTTTGGCTATTAAACATACCACCGCTTATACTTCTGATTTTTAAGATATCATTTCAAATATTTTGCTTATCATCATCTTGTAAAATGCCGAATTCTTATATTATATCACATGCTTCATCAAACTCACTACTAGTAAGATGCTCCTCTAATATTGGGCGTACAATAAATAATCAGCTGTGTGAGCACATGTATGGATTGTTTTTTTTTCAAACGTATCCTTAATTTTATTTTTTCAGGTGGATCCAAATTAAGCATCAAGTTTTTATATGTTGACCAGATTTGATGGAAACATTTCCATATTATTTAATTTATTTGAAAATAAAATTATTTGATCCATATTTTTTAATAAATTTGATTTGAAAAATTGTTAAAATAACATATTTATATATTCTTATCATTTTTACAAGTTAGTATTATTTAGAAACGAATTAAAAAATATGGAAATGTTTTAAATTAAATCTGCACAACACTATTCGAACAAATATCCAACTTTTTCAACAGCTGCTTTCTGAGATTTCTTGCATATTTGTATTTGCTCCTTACATTTTATTGACGATGCATATCATGTTTGGATAATTGAACATAATGTAACATAAATTGGCATAGTAATTTTCTCAAACCATGCTTTAGCAAAAATATTATACTTATTTATATATTGAGCCAATCTTACTGAGAAAATTTCATTTAAAATAAAATTTTAATATGAAAATCTTTTATAACTAAATCGATGCTTGTTGATATAAATATATATTAAAATAAATTGTAACCATAATTATGTTGATAAATATGCTATAAATATATATATTACTTATTTAATCAATATATTTTAAAGTATTTGACCATGTCAAATACACCTTTGGTCAATTGACCGACTTGCCAACCCTGAAAATACCACTTCACTTAATGAGCATGGTCAACAAAGCTTATTCTACTAACTTGATGTCTGAATCTGATTGTTTCTTATGGAATATACTGCGTTCCACATAATTTGCTATTAGACATGCCACTTTTACTTCTGTAATTATGATATCACTTGAAATATTTTGATCAACACCTTGTTCATTAAATTCACTATTATTAAGATGCTCCACTATAGAAAAAATAAAATATTGAAAACTGCAAAAACATTACTTCAAAAATAGTTTTCAAATATTAAAAATAAAACAATATCTTAGGAAAAATTTAATAATCGATTAACTTCGTTTGTTGCCAAAGGAATGCATCCATTATTAATAGATGAGCAAAAAGAATTTGTAAAAATGATGGAATGTAAATTTAATTTTCATAGCTTTCTCATATTACTCTCTTTTATTTGTCAATTTTTTAGAACTATTATCTTGTAATGGATTACCAATACCAATTTAAAAAAATTTATCGAAGATTCAACAAAAATAAAATTGATAGATGTAGTTATAAATAAATTTCAGCTATATTTTAAACTAGACAATTTATTTTAAAATAATTAATGGATGACGGGTGGATCAAGTATTTTTGCAATTTATTTGTTAATTCATTTATAGTAAAGATTTTAAACGTTTAGAGCAATCTAATTGGTGAAAATAAATATAATCACATTATTTTAAGATTCTTATCCTATTAGTTCAATGGATAGGATGATATAGAATAATATAATCCTTAAAACACACATAATACAATTTAATTCTGGGAATTCTTGGACTAAATTTCTTTTTATGGCATTTATATTAGGGGGAAGGGATCGATAGCGAGAATGGATCGATATTCCTGACCAATTATATATTTTGCTTTGTGGAAAAGATTAATAAAAAAACGGTGGAATATCCATAATTTTCAGTTTTAAAAAATGTGCATTAAAGCTTAAACGGACATGCTCAGTCATGTAGCGTTTTAGCTAGTGAACGAATAGAATATAAAATTTTCATATTTTATAATTATTTTATATACCCATAATTTAGTTTGGTCCCCGGATTGTAAATATTGAATAATAAGGGTGGCTAACGAATTTGCTTTGGGTATCATATTTCTATTATTGTTATTATTTTGATCGATTTTTTCATTTTCCGTGGTGGCTTTAGTGGTTATGTTTTGATTATTTTGCAGGATCGGAGTTTTATCGTGTTGTCCATCATTGTAAGGTGTTTGATGTTTTTCGGCCAAAATTTCTTTGATCCTTGAGCACAAAGTCATAGATGCCTATCATAAAGTAGGGAAAGAAAAATTCACATAGATATGCTATAAAGCAAATCATAAAAGTTAAAAAAAAATTTCTCATATCATTATAAATTAATGAGGTGTTATTCATCTTTTACCTTTTTACTTAATGAAATAGATATTTTCATTATCAATCCTAAATCCTTCGATTTCTTTTTAGTAGTTACCTATATATGGTGAATTCCATGAGAAATTATTTATTAATTGACAGAGGAAAAACCATTTGGTTTTATATTCATTTCCGGGTTTAAATTTTTTTCAAATTTTTCCCCAAAGCCCCATTTTACTGATTTTTAGAAGCCCATATCTCAGCAGCTGTTAGGAGATAGAGGCCAAAGTTTTATTTTTTCCTTAGTTGTAATATATGCAAACTCTAATAATTTTAAAATGTCCTTGGCGACACTATAGGCACTTCCAAAATATACATTTTTACCAAAAATTGAAAAAAATAGATGGTGCTATGCGAAACTACGGATTATGACTGAAAAATATTATTTTTAAGGAAAATGATACGTTTATAAGAAATGTGATATTTTCCAGTTCTGCCCACTACCACCATCCATAAAAAGTTTTGCATTTTTTAGATAGTGAATAACTTATTAGCTTGATAAAATTGTATAACAGCTACATTAGAAATAATATTTTATTAGGTATATTATTTTACAAAATAAACTGTTCAAATCGAGCCATCTCTCTATGCTTATTATTCTTAACTTGTCTGTTCAGATTAATTTTATATAATCCAACCCGTCTGCATGTTTATTATTTTAACTCGTGTGTTTACCAATAACATTCAGGATTTGGAGTGGAAAAACATCTATTCTAGGTGCAGATCAATTAAAATTTTATTCTATATCACAGATGGAATATTTATGCTGATGAATTTTCCTAAAATACTTTAAATGAAGATTTAATTATGATTACATAAAGGACATATTGCCCAACTTTACCAAATTTCTTTTTTGGTTATTATGCTCAATGAACTGAATCTTCTCATTTAAAGGCCATGATAAGTGAAATATTATATTTAAGTGATGTCGATTATATTATCTAAAATCACCGGGTAACTACAGATCGTACAAATCATGTAACTAACACTTCATCAAACCATAATTTTATAGAAACTCTTCTCGAAAAGCTAAATATTTTACTATTACACTCATTTACAATAACGCTGCAAGCATGATGAAATCTGTTAAATTTAATTTTAATGAAGGAGAATATATCGTTTACGTTTGCTGTAAATTATGCTTTTTTATTCAAAGCAACCTTTTGTGATTTGTTACAAATCATTTAATAATATAAATCATTTAAGTTACGCAATAATATCTGAAACTCTCATTCATAATACAATTGCTGTTCATTTATTCCAAAAATATTTAATCCGCTACTTAACAGAAATCCAAAAAAATTCTTCTACTTTTCAGATGGAACAGCTCCACAAAATAAGAATAGCAAAAATTTAATCAATCTTTGCCACCATGAAGATGATTTCGGAATAAAAGCTCAGCGGCATTTCTGGACTACAGCTCAGGTGTGACGCGGTCGGATGTAGTCAAACGTTTGGTGGCCAGGCTAGTTTATAAAGACCTGTTTCAGAACAAATAACTTGTCCTAAAGAGTTTTTTAGAAAATATTAAAGATATAAGTCTAATTTAATAATATATATTATAATTTATTATTAAGGAATAGATTTCTCCTATATTATAGAAGGCGAATATGAGAAAGAGAAAATAATTTTAGAAGAGATTCAATAAAGAGCGTATAATACCAGAAACGTAAAAATTTCATACTTTTCATCCAATTTCTCAGGATAAAATTGAAGCTAAATTTTATTCATACTCAACAGAATCGCAAATATTAAATATAACAGTTCACTCGAATATTAATGCTAATTTAATATATGAAAAAAATGGATATATAACATGTATCAATAACAACAAAACGATGGCATATGTTGTAGAAAAAAAAATCGAAAAAGAGGTGTTGGTTAGTTTTTTGTATGTTCAAGGACCTTTAAATCCTTATGCATATCCTTCCTTGATTGACAAATTGTGGATACATAAATAATATATTTTAGATGTGGCCAGTCCTTCAATTGCTACCGAATGAACATATACATTATATAAGATGAGACAATTAAAACTATTCAACTTTTTAATTTATTTGCTTAAATATATAATTATTTATAACTAGCCGGGAAAATTAGGAGAAATAATGGAAAATTAAAAAATAACCACAAAATACACTTTAAACCTTCAATATTTTTGAATAAATTTAGGGAACTAAGGAAAATAATATAATTAAACAATAAGACAAAAATACACTGCAAACATTTCGTTTTTTTTGAATAACTTTATTATTACAAGAAGCATGTATAATAAATTACATTTAAAATTCATGGGATACTAATGAAGCATTAACATCTTCATGGGATGCACTTGAAATATCATCATTATGACTTGATATTGATAAATAGGAATCTGAGCTCTTTTGATGATATCCCGAACATGATGTATTTTTGTGATCGTTTAAATGTTGTATGTTATGCCTAATTGACATTAATTTTTCGATCTTTTCATTTATTATTCTATTTCTCGTTTTTAAATGAATTTTTCCAAATTCTGACCAGACTCTTTCTGACGAGGCACTTGAGGGAGTGGCGTCACTAGGGGAGGGCGAGCAGGGGCTCGAGCCCCCTGAAATATTTGAATAGCTCCTTGAAGTAAAAATATTTTTTTTAACGGCTCCTCAATATCCCCTAGAACTAAAATAAATTTTTTGATTTATCCCTGAACGATTTCTTTTATAATTCAATTACTAAATATATATATTTAATTTTATAATATAAAAGACTATCTAAATTTTCATTATATCAATACTATTTTAATTATTAGATTAGATTAATATATAAAAATTATATTTTCACAATGTCAGCTTGCAATCAAATTCTGTGTTAACAATAGAATATCAATATCATTCACTAAATATTAATCTAGCATAAAAGTTGAAGCATAATTGACTTTTATTATTTAAATTATTATATACAGTAATAGATGTAATAGCACAGTCTATACCTCAAACAGTCCCGTGGGATATGATATTTGCAGATGATATTGTAATACTGGCCGAATCCAAGGATGAAATGAAAGATTAGTGAGTTGGATAAATATCCTAAAAAACCATGGACTAAAAGTAAATAGAGAAAAGACGGAGTATATGGTGATAGGAGGAGATGAAACAGAGAGCATTGATATAAATAAATGGCAGATATCGGCAATTGAAAGCTGCAAGTATTTGGGCTCCATTATACAAACAAACGGCACAATAGAGAAAGATATAAAGAGTAAAATTAATCTGGGTGGTTAAAGTGGAGATCTTTATCTGGACTGCTCTTTGACAAAAGAATTCCACAGAAATTGAAGGGAAAAAATACAGTTCCATAGTGCAACCAACTATTCAATATAGTTCGGAAACATGGACAACTAAAGAATCAGACGAGAGAAGTCTACAAACTATGGAGATGAGAATGCTGAGGATGATTGCTGGGGTAAGTAGAAAGGATAAAGTGTGCAGTACAAGAATACTAAGTAGTTTAAAGGAAGTGCCAATTAAGACTAAGTTAATGGTAAATAGACTTAGGTGGTATGGGCACACAATGAGAAGGCCTATGAACTACATAGGAAATAAGGTTGAGAGTTTGGAAGTGATGGGCAAACGTAAAAGAGGAAGGCCAAAACTTCAATGGGGAAGTTAGAGCAAATATAAAGAAGTATAAATTAGATAAAAGAGATTGTATGAATAACATAAAGTGGAGAGAGATGTTGAAGGAGCTTACCACCAGTAAAGGTGAAAGCTGAAGAGAAAAAAGAAAAAAAAATATAACCCTAATTAAATAAATATAATCATTTATTAATTGAAAATTAACAAATTTAATGTTATAATTAGCCGAATAAAATATTTTCAAGGTCCAAATAAGTATACGAGATTTCTTTATAAAAAGTAAGTAGACATAGTTTATAATCCTCTATTATATATAGTTGGTTATAAAATATTAGGTAAAAGGCAATTTTTCAGATGTATTTGACAGTTTTTACTAATAAATGCGTTTGATAATAAATATAAGCAAGAATTTGCATTTAATTATTTAACGCCATCTATTTATTTAAAAATATTATTACAAATTAAACATCTTATTATTCATCCCACAATGGATGTAATAAATTTGATATCTTTTCTTCTCTTTTTTTACGCGTTTTTAGGAAAGCTACCTTTTTCTTCTTTGAAAAAGAGTTTTGAGTTAAATTTTTAATACGAATATATTTTTGATATTATTACAAACTACTATTATTTTAAGATATAATATACCAATTAGTGGTAGTGCGATAATAATGTATAAAATCTTAATTGTTTTCATCATATCACTCTGGTTCTTATTTTATAGTTACAAAATTGTGGCATCCTTGCCGTGTAAATAACTTATGGCTTCAATATATTTGCATAATTTCTTCTAAAGATTTCTAATGTTTTTGTTTTAACAATTTATATAACATAATAAATTCTGATATGAGTTAACATCGTGTGTGTCAATGACCGCCAATTAAGCAGCATCTATTATTTGCGTAGTGATGTATGTTAAGATTATTACTACAGCTGTTGAAAGCATATGATTGCATATTTTAGATAAGCAATAATGATCAAATGTGTAGTCGTTTATATATCATTAAAAATGGAAGATATTTTTATAGAAATTTAATATCTCACAATAATTCTCTCGATTACTTATCTAGCTTAAGTCAGTAACACAGCTGTATCCGATTCAACAATTATAATTTTGTTATAAATGAATTTCAAAAAAGTCAGTAGAAATTTTAATTTATCCCAGTATCCTTCTTTGTTTAATATAATACGCCTTCTTTGTGTCTATAAATAAACTTGAAATTGCTATTTCTTGCAAAACTTCCTTATTTTTCACAAGACTTTGCAATATTATAACCAAACCTTCTATATCTTGTCGGACTTGGAATTTTTAAGGAAGATTAATATCCTTTTAATATTTGCCTTTCTTTATAAGTTGCTAATAAAATATCATTAAATTTTATATATTTAATTATTTGTTTAATTTTTTTGACGATCTTTTCAATAAAACATATTTGGGATAAATCTATAAGTAGATTCAAACCATGTGCGGCATATCCAAAGCATTCAATATAATTATATTTTGGCCTAACAAGAACTATCCGGGATCATCACGGGTTTTAAAGCGATCCCTTTAAGAATTCAATTTTTTAAAGGATAAAGAACTTTAAGGTATTATCACGTTTGAACCATGATAAAGAAGAATCTTTATTTATAACGCGTTTTCTTTATTTTTTAAAAAAATGCATTGTTATTTATTTTCAATGTTATTTTTTTGGCCTTATGAAATAAGATATGTCTAATAATATAGAGTATCAATCGATAGCTTCAAAAATTCTATTGAACTAGAGATCAATCTCTTCCCCTTAATGGGCGAGTCTAGTTCTGGTTGGTGAGGTATATTTTTATCAAAACAAAATATCGATATGGATATCAAATAATAGCTAATTTTAATATCTTTTGACTGAAAGCCTTCATTCTTGGTCTTGATGGGTAGGACTTGGGCTGAGTGGTGGATGAAGGGGGGGGGGCAAAAGAATAATTTTTTTGATATGGGTATCAAATACAAGGTAATTCAAATATTTTTTATTTTTATATATAATAATCACTCAAATGGGCGGATCTAGGACCTGGAGGGGTCAGGAATATTTTTTAACATAAAATATCGATATGGGTATCAAACAAAAGGTAATTTAAATATCTTTTGACTAAAATATTCATTATTGGTCTTGATGGGTATGACTTGGTCTGGATTAAGGAGGGGGTTAAAAAATAATTTTTTCTGATAAGGGTATAAAATAAAAGATTATTAAAATATTTTTTATTGTAATAATAATTAAACTCTAAATGGGCTCTAGGTCTTGGAGGGCTAGGAAATTATTTATCAACATAAAATATTGATATGAATGACTATAAAATTGAAGCGAATTATAATATTTTTCTACTAAAATAATAGTATTCACTCTTGGTCTCTTAATGGGTGGATTAGGTCCTGAGAAGGGAGGGTTTAAAAAAAATAATTTGATATGAATATCTGATTTAAGGTAATGGAAATCTGTAAAAACTATAAAATTAAATAGTAGTAAATGGTCGGGTCTAAGAATTAGGTGGTCAGAATTTGTATAATTTCATAATATATAAATTGAATATGGTTATTAAATACTTGGGAAGTCCGTTATTTATCAATCAATATATTCTACATATTATTAAAATTAACTTTCACATAAAATTATAGATAGATCGAAATTTAATATATTAATGGTTGGGGTGGCCTACATAATATAAAATTAATTTGATTAAAATCATTCTTTTATGCGTTTATTCCTAATCTCCCTTAGTATAAATTAAGATTTCGGATATTTATAAATTTTCTGTCAAAACACAAACCACGTTAAGAATGACTTAGCCTTTTAGTCAGGCCCTCAACATATTAACAGAATTTCCACTTGGATATTTTAAGAAATAAAAAAGAATAAAGATAAAACAATTTTTTAAATCTTTTTTTCGGTTCCAATCCTGAACCCGAAATATTTAAATTGCAGTGTTCTTAATGTAGCGCGTTATTCTATAGCTTTTTTTTTAGTATCGATAACTTTAGCTAAAAAGAACGATAGCGATTGCTAGCTACTAAAAAAATAAGCAAAAATTATTATAATAATTTTATAGTTAATTCTAAAATCATAATCATTTTATTTTATTTTGAAATTTAAAAATATGCATTGTAAATATATTTTTCAAAAAAATAAAAAATTTTAAATGTCGACATTAGAGATTGATAATGAAGATAATCTTGGTAAAGATCATATCGACAAAGTAATATCCCTGTAAAATGATGACGATATGGAATTTTCTTTTCCTAAATTCACAAATTATTTTAATCTAGATTAAAATAATTAACACAAGGTATAATTTTGCTGTAAGATGTGGCTGAAGGTTTTATCATAGGGTATAGTGATTGCTCACAAAATAAAAAGGGGAAATTCCTACGAATCATTTTACAATATTGAATATTCGGAGAGAACGAACCATAAAATAGGTAAAACAATATTAAGGAAAGATAAAATAGCATCGAAAATATTTTAGCTAGACTGCCTTCGTTTATTGCATATTTAATAGATAGGAATAAGGAAGATAATGTTTACAAAAATAAAATTATCCTTTGGGGATCACGTACTGATCCCAATAAATAAAAATGATAGATAAAATCTATGCCCTAAAATTATTGAAGCCGAAATTATATGACGGAGGGCGAGAAACTATGGGTTGGAACTAATTTGGGAAAAATTGATTCCCCATTTTTAAAAACGAACGTTCATAAATTAACAAAATTTACCAATTTAACCATTCCTAATAAAACCATCTACATAATAACAGCATCAAGAAATGCATCTTCTTAAGGTAATTGTAAATCAATTTGCAATTGCCAAAAAAGTTGCAACAATAAGAGATGTTAATGTTTTAAAAATGGTATTAATTGTTCTACAAAATGTAATTTATATATTATTTGTGTAAATAATAAATAATAGTTCCACAAAATGTCATTTAAATATTATTTGTGTAAATAATAAATAATTTTCAAAATTATAAATTTCAATTATCAAAATCAAATCAAATAAAATATGGTTCATTATATGTTAAAAAAATGATTTGCTTGTATAGAAGTATAATCATTTATAACGGTAATAAGAATAATTTATAATGTCATTATTGAATCGATGGTTTCAAATATAGCCTTCCGAAATTTTAAGATTTAAAAATATTACATATAAGATTAAGTTGCGAGCAAAAAATTTTATCATTAAGGTACAATGAGTTTTTAAAGAGCATTAACTATATATGACCGCTGCTTATAATGATATTTAATATTGAAGTCTAAATATGTTGTATTTATTTGATACCCATATTGATGTTTTATGTTAATAATAATAATCATGAGATCTTAACACGCCTACTTAGCTTGATAAATATTAATATAATCAAGGCTTTTTATTTACTTTTTATTTGATGCCCATATCGATTTTAATTTTTATCCGGTTGATTAGATCTTATGATTAGCTATCGAATGATACCCTATATTAGTAATATCTTATTTCACAAAGCCAAATAAAACAACATTGAAAATTAATAAATAACAATAAAATTAAAAAGAAAATATGAAACGCGCGTAAAACGTTTTTAAAAATAAGATTTCTCTTTATCATGATTAAAACGTGATAATACAGTATTATCATTCCTTAACTTAAAACTTTTAGTTATCCCTTTAAAACTTGTGATAATCCCTTTAAAAATTATGACATATAAAAATTTAAAATATCCTATTATTGCTATTAGCAACAAAACTTTAAACATATTCCACTAAAGCGCCATCTATTTTCTTTCAAAATATATATTCTGGAAGAGACGATAGCATCGCCAAGGTTATGGCATCGTATATATATAAAGGCAAAAAAAATTTTCGAAATAACTCCCTTTATTGCTTAAACACTGGTAAAGCAACTTAGGTAAATAGGAAGTTAAAGACTGAAATTGGCGCAAATTTATTTTTGATAGACTTTTAGAAATTTTTCCATACAATATTATATGTTTTTTACTATAAATAATTTTTGAGATATAAGCATTTTAAAAGTTTTACAAATTCCAAAGTGGATCTTTTCTGCACATATGGGCCCTATATCTTGGGACCAGGTATGCTAGAGAGCTAAAATAAACGGATTCTCATTTTTATACCTATCTAAATGATTTCCAAAAATTTTTAACAATTTTAAAAGGGGTCGGCGAATAGTGATCGATTTGAAATGGAATAGTTCCAAGATAAAATAAATATTTAGAGTTTATGATTTTTCCCTAAATAAACTTTTTAAAAACGAGACTAAATCTAAGATTGTAGAAAATTATGATTTAAAAAAAAATTAAACCTCGATTTTTTATCAAGTTTTATAAAATAATAATAATGTTTTTATGATGCGTCCTTGGAAAAAATAACCCCTATTTATGAACTACATCAATCCAGTTATCTGTGAAATTTATGAATAAAATAATGTTAAGGTAATATTGGATTGACTAAAAAACGTATCAAATATAATGATAAAATTTAATATTTGCCTAATTTATTCTAATTTTGATACATTATAATTAAAAATAATTTTATGACAATGTTTAATTATTTTAATTTAAACTAATATATTATTTTTATATAAATCTAGAATTAAAATTTTTATATAAACGGATGAATTAATTTTTATTGATAACAAAATATTGAATATTGATATTTATTTAAAAAGAGCAATTTAAAATAATAATGGAGATTATTCCTTAAATAATTAAAATAATTTCAAATTAATTTCAGAATTGTCTCAAATATAAATTGGTTTTTAATAATATTTAGCAATTTCAGCTTATATGCAAAATATAATATAATAAAATAATGAATAATAAAATGTTTGTATTTAAAAATAAAAAACTAATAAAATATAAATTGCAAAAAATTGATTCAAATTACGATTAAATTAATTAGACCATGCCCTGTCTAAATAAAAAAAATGCCTAGAACCTGCTGGGCTGAAATAAAATAATTGATTTATCAGATATCTACTACAAAATTGTTGTTTCGGGGGGAGTTACAATTCATAAAATACGGTATTTTCTATAACAAGGTGCCCATTCTGACATCAACTTTCCAGTTAGTTTTTAAAACCCCTCAAGAAAAAGATAATTATATTTTGTCACAAGAGACCTTTTAATTACATTTAATATATCCAAGGATATTGCTTACTATTCCTCCAACACTTTTGAGCCATTTATACATTAAAAATAAATTATGTAAGTAAAAAATATAATATACTTTAGCATCGATAACGGTTTTTATCTCGGATATTTGATCGTCTGATGTATTTATAAATTTGGGTAATATTTCTAAATTTCGATGGTATATGTTTTCAGATTCTTTTAGGTCGGATAGATACTTGATTACGTTTTATTATCAGTAAAAAAAATATGTTTGAAAAAAATATTATTTGACATAATGTTGCTTCATTGGGTTTTAAACTACCTTTGGTCGATATTGAGTTAGGGTCAAAATATTATCTGGGTCGTTTTCAATTCCGTAAGAAATTTTTTAAAATAAACGCCTTCTTATGCTATACAATATAGTTCCAAGGGGATTAGGCAGCTATTAACTAATTATAAAAAATGAAAGAGAAAGTAACTATAAAAATATTAATTTCATTATTGTTTCTACTTCTACTATTAAAAATAATTTTACATAACCTCTTATTTTAAGTAATTAATCTTTTAAAATAAACATATGATATATTATTAACCATTGATTCGAACAGAATAGGCCTGCAATGATCTAAGCGCATCTCATTTTTGTTGACTTTTAAACCATCTATTTTACGTTTTTTATCGGGAGATTTTGACATGTTCGAAGAATTGGTGGCATTACGAACTAAATTTCCATAGCCCAAATGTATTTTAACCGCCAAACTGGTATCGGTGTTCGAGATTTCAGTGTCAAGCTTAGCGAATATGATAGGTAGGGTTATGGTGGCTTCGGTGTCGTTTGCTGAATTGTTACCGGGAGTTATAAATTTACGTTTGAAAGCGATCGAATATTGGGGGTATAGAGGTTTGTTGATACGATGTCTTATGAAATTATATAAAGATGAATAAAAATGATGTACATTCTTAAATTAGAATTATTAAATAAATATATATATATAGTATTTAATTGGAGGGAGCATTTAGAACAATAATTTTTTACTCAGATTAAAGAACTTTTATGTTGACTAAAATGTAACTTACCCTGAGTAGCCACTAGGTATAAAAAAACCCCGTTTTTATCGGGAAAAAAACAAACGTTGATTTTTTTGTTTTTTAAAAAAAATTATTTGCTACGGTATTAATATTTGGTTGAAAATTTATATGTAAAACTTTAAAATACAATTAAATTAACAAATCATGCAAATAGACAATCAAGTATTCAAGAACATTCTTTCATTAAAATAGTGTTGTTAAACAGCTCGATTTTTAAAAACTGCTAACAAATATTTTGTCCAAAAAATATTGCCTAAGCCTGGAGATTTCGCTAATAGATAATAAAATTGAGCCATTTATGAGCAATATATTCCGGCTTGCGTAATATTTTTCTGGATAAAATATCAGAGTTGTTAAAAGATACTTTTTAAATGGATCTAGATACAGATAAAACGTCTAAAATAATATATAGATACAAATTATTTAATCAAAAATCTATCTAGATACAGATACCACATTTTTATATCTAGATATAGATACCACATTTTTATATCTAGATCCTTTAACAACTCTGTAAAATATTGAGTTAGTCTCTAAAAATCACCTCAAATCGAACGGTTTTTAACAAAACATTGAAATATAAATTGATTGTATTATTTTGTGAACAAGATGGTAGGGGGTTGCTCATTAAGTTGATGTCATATAATTATCTGCTATGAGCTTAAAAGTTAAAAAGGCCATATCTTTCTAACATTGGTCTATATTAGATGTTTTCGTTACCATATGTTTTTTTTGAAACCAAAAAAAAAACGTAATTTGCAATGTAGTTTCGTGCTACTTTTTTCAGCAGCGTTAGCTCTAGCGAGCTAAATTTAAAAAAAAAATAAGCTGGCTACTAATATAGAAATAACGTGCTACTTCGTTAGTTTCAATTTTATATAATAAAAATTGTTAAAATATATTTATAATTTTACAATTAATTCTATAATCATAATATTTTTATTTTATTTTATTTTGAAATTTATATTTTAAAATATGCATTATAAATCTAATTTTAAAATGTCGACAACAGATAATGATATTGAAGAAAATTTTGGTACAGATCATGTATGCTAAATAATTCCCCTGGGAAATGATCCTAATATGAAATTTCCTTTTATAAATTCACAAAACATTTTAATCTCGATAAAAAATTAACACAGGGTACAAATTTCGTTGTAAGATGTGCTAGAAGGTTTTATCATTAAACAAGACTAGTAGCATCCACTAAAATTTTATCAATGTTTAGCCCAATTACTATACCTACCCTAGCAAGATCAAAAACTCCTCCTACTATAGATGATTTTTTTAAATTTAAAAAATACTCAAATAATATTTTTGATGATTTCTCTTTTATAAATAATATGTATATTAAATTTAATACTGCATTGCCCTCAAATGCTAGTGTTGAACGTTTGATATGGCAAAGCTTATACTTTCTGATAATCGCTCTAGACTTGGAGATGAGAGTATTTATAAATATTAATATTGAAATACAATAAAAAATAAATTATATGTATATGAAATTTTAGTCATATTTTTATACCAGTATTTTTTAGTTGTGAAAATAGACACATAATTATAGCGGCAGTGTAGAGCGCTACTTTTAAAAGTAGCGTTTAGCAACACTGGAATTTTGTCAAACGTCTAAAATTTTATTTAACAATAATTCCATGACGATATTATTCAAGCCACTGGTAAAAGGTTAGTAAATGTATTCATACTGAATTTTTTATACACTCATTTTTTAAAATAATATCAAGCAAAGCAGATGAATTAAATATTAATTTTTTTTTCTTTAAAAGAATCTAAAAATTGTAAAATTTATATTTTGGGAGGAAAACCTTAGCCAATATTAGGCCTTAAGACATACCTAATATATCGCCACCAACTCACACTAAGCCTTGGACGAAATGTGAATCAATTTAAACAAATATAAATAATATTTCACTCAGTTGCTATTTACCGGCACTTGCTGCATGCAGCATAAATGGTCAGTTAGCTGAGACCTTTGCTAATTATACAATACAAATATATTTAAAAAAAGAAAATATATTATTCGTCGAATAATTTTTTTTCTATTATTCGAGATTATTCGACTAAAATAATTTATAGTATTATATTAATAAATGTTGAAAAATAATTATATATATATATATATATATTAGATAATTAGGAATTACATGAAATCATTCTTATTTAATAAAATTTACTAGTGGAATATTGAAGAAGCATTTTATATTTTAAAAATTTTATATAACTTCATAATCCAAAACAACTTCAGAAAATTCTTTTATGGACAGGTATTTATTTTATCGAATTAATTATACATACACAATTATAATAAACTAGTAACTATCCCGTCAAGAATGACGGGCGATGCAGATATTTCTCATTTGTTTGATGATGGAGAAATCATAAATTTTACTTTTTGCCTAAATTTTTACCACTTTATTTGTAAAATATTGCTAGATGTGAGTTTTGTATTTTTAGATCGCATAGCTTTTTGACAATCTATTATTTCCTACAATTATTTGTACTCATATACATGGTACTAATAATCTATTAACTTTTTTAAAATAATGTTGGGGATAATTTATAAATTTTATGAACTGTTTTTATATTAAAACTATAAATCCAAATTTTTGTAAAAAATATTTTATAAGTAAATCTGTATAAAATTTAATATAAGTACATGTAATAGTATTTTTTAAACTTATATCAAAATTCACTAAAATATGTGTTATCATTTTGTGATAAATTTTTTAAAAGCTATTATCTCATCTACATTTGGTGATAGTATAAACTCCGAAGTAAAGTTTAAACCTTTGTATTTGATTAATTGGTTGTTGTCAGATATGTCCTATACATGATATAAATATTATATTTATTTTTCTACATTATGTATAAATATACTATATATGTATGCTTCTATTTTATCTTACTAATAAAATTGGTTTGTCTTTTATCCATAGTTAAATTTTACAAAATAAATTTTATAATCGAATCGAATATTCGACGAATCTAATCGAATAATCATTTTATTATTCGTACGAATACGAATAGTGTGCGATTTAAACGAATACGAATAATTCTATTATTCATAATGCAATTATTCGATTCGTACTTTTGTAGGTATAATTTAGACATGTTCGGATATACTATTTTATGTGTACCTAAATTAGATTTATAACTAGTGTTGTACGCGTTCGTGAACGAAGTTCGTTTTTTTGAAAAAAATGATGAATAGCGTCCCTTTTACTCGAAGAACTTTGAACGTGAACGCGTTCCTTTTTTTTGACGAACGCGTTCGTTCGTTCAATTTTAAAAACACATTTTATTTTTATTTGTATGAAAAATTTAATATTAATCCGAACTTTTTTAGAAAAAGTCAAATTTTTTAATCAGCTGCTTTTCCTTTTTCACATTTCAATTTTTTTAACACGCCGTTATTATAGTTTATTAATTTGAATATCATTTTTTATATTTTAATTTAATAGATTAGTGTAAGCATGGATATTATTATTTCATAATCATGCTGTGATTCTGAAAATTTAAAATCAATGAATTAACATTACCATGACCCAAATATGATAAATATTTTACAGTAACATCCTATATTAAGGGAACTAATTCAATACTTACCAAATCGAAAATGTGCTCAAAAAGTATTATATCGGTTTCAATATCTTCAAGTTCCAATTTAAAACGACATTTGATTTTATTAATTATTTTATTTTATATACTATAACTAAGTAAATCATTAAATTTGAAGAAAATGTACATTTGGGCTATTTGACCCTAACAATAACGATAGTTATTTAAAAATTAAAAAAATTAGTGGGCTAAAATATGGTCAACCATTAATAGACGCAGTATTAAATGGGATTAATAAAAGGAATTAAACCTATCATTATCAAATTAATTATATATATTTTTTAAGATTAGAACATATATATATGAAGATCAATATGTTCTTACTGCAATTATATACCAATATTCAAGCCTCAATGACGATGGATAAAACATCCACAGAAAGAACCTAATAAACTTATAGCGTTATTGAAAACTTAGAAATGATAATGCAAGAACTGTTAATTTCGAGATATTCTTTTTTTTGACGAGGAAGTAGAGGATGGATTGGAGGAGGCTAACTTATCTCAATTTTTTGAAGCAAAGGACAAAACAATAAATGTTATTAATAAATTCCCCGCGTTAGAAGAGTTGTTTATTATATATAATACAGCAATCGCCTCATCTGCCCCTGTAAAGCGAGTTTTTAATATAGTTAATGTCGTATTAACTGCCAAGCGTTTCTGTCTATCAGATGAAAATTTTGAAAAACAATTGTCTTAAAAATTATAAAAAAAAATTTTTATAAATAAAAATATGTTTCATTCGTTATATTATATTGCATTTATAATTATATTATAATAAACCTATATTATTTTTTTAACATGGCTAATATAATATGTTAAAAAATATAAGACATATTAAATTATATTTAAAAAAATTTATCATAAATTTTGAACGAACGTGAACGCTTTCCTTTTTTTGAAAGTGAACGCGTTCGATTTTTGCCAATGAACGGTGAACGCGTTCGATTTTTTTAAAATGTTTACAGCACTATTTATAACTACTGAGTAAGCTTTTGTCAACTCCCTTTATCACCAAAAAATACTATGTAATAATGGTTATTTTTAAATGATTACCCGTTTATATGGGTCGAGAATATATTTAAATATCCATTTTTGAGAACGACGGCTAAATATGATGAAGCAGCCTATTGATTTTATAAAAAGATGGAGGGTATATTTTAATATATCAATAAAATAAATCTAATTACAGTAGCCAGTCAGTGTGTCAGAGAATAAAATTAAATGTCTTAACCAATGTAAGTGATTAATATCAGAAATATTGTGAATATAACTATTGGATCTAGGTTCTTCTTAAAAATCAGGTTCATTATGCAAAAACAGAGATTGAAAAGTAATTATAAAAAAAATTTGATCAAAAATCTATTTTTTTAAAAAAAATTGATTTCATCTTGTATAATTTTTTGTGTATATCTACAAAATATATTTGGCATTTTTAGGTAAAATTTGATTAAAAATCTTTCTTTAAAAACGATTTTCGCTTTAATAATTTTTGAAATTTATTTTTTTCAAACTTTATAAAACATTAGAATTGTATTTTTTAGGTCACTGTGCAAAGTAGTGTTGTTAAACAACCCGATAAAAAATTAGCTTAAATAATATAATGTAAACCTCGAGATTTGGAAAATAGAGGTCCAAACCTTTCTGCCATATATGAGAAAAATCTCCAGGACTATATAAATATAATATTATTTTGACTAAAATCTTAATTGAGCTCTTTTAAAAAAATCGACCCAAATCAGGCTGTTTAACAACACTAGACAGTAACAAATGCCAATCTAAATAATTTTTTGAAAAAAACTCGATTTGGAGGAGGGTATCAAACAGTTATGTATATACAGTTAATTGGTTTTTTGTTTATAATTTAAATTGTTTAGTTCTGTTCCAATTATTTTTTGGTTTGAAAATTTTTTGATTTATTCCATCCCAAAAACTTGATAAAAATATTTTAAAACTTTAAAATAAAAACTAAATGAATTTTTTTAAAAATAGGCTAAATTTATTTTAATTATGAAATATGAATAATATAACAAATTAAATAACATAAAACAGGCCAATATATGTACTATTTATTTTTTTAAATAGTTTAAACTATGCCAATCATTAATTAAAATATATAAAATTATAAACCCCAGTAAGCTGAGAACTTATGAGACTGCCGGTCTAGCAGGCTTGGGTTTTTAAATTTTTTTTAAGGGGCTTAAATCTAAAATTATTAAATTTATATTTAGCTTATTTAAAACAGTCAATAACTTAAAGAAATATTGCCATTTTTTTCTTATAATAAATTTCAGTATTTTAAACAAAATGATTGCTTAAATACACATAAATATTGTTTATTTCTATTAAATAAAATATATTAAATTTTTGGATATGGGTTTGGGCTGGTAATGGAAATTTTTTTTACTGCTAGCCTGGGCCAGGGTTGGTTAAAAAATTAAGGCCCATGAAAGTCTCTTTGTTTATTGTGCTTAATACAAATTTATAATGGTTTAGTTCTTCACTTTTTAGATTTTATCATGATGGTTTGGAAAATTATATTGTTTATGGTTTCTTGATTCAGTTTAGTTTGACACCCTGTTATTTACAAAAGTTTTATAATTGTTAAATATTTAACTTTTAAAAATCCTAAAGAAAAAATAAATAACCATCAAAAGATATTAATATTGGAAATAATAAAAAATGATAGAAAAATATTATGTATGATAAAATATTAATATTTTTTTTAGCATGTACTTCATATTGAAATTTTTGAGGTATTAATATATCCACATATTTAATAGCCGATGAGGTAGCAAATGATGCTATTGGCAGAGCTTTATCTTTATTTAATTCTTCACTTATGTTTGCGTTCCTAATGATATAGATCCATTAAAAAATAAAATATTTATTAAAAAAATTATATTCATAAATGTTAGCAATAATGTGTTTTCCAAGTTAATTTCTCTCTATCAATTTACACAATGAATAAATTATCATTTTGATGGAAATGTATTGCAGCATGTGTAGAAATCCTACTCTTTGCTATAAACTTTTAAACTTAATATAATTTTAGTTGTATATAAATTATAAATGGCAAAGGATATGTAAATGTCTGAAATTCATAAAATAAGTACTCAAAACAACTAGAATATGAGCCATTCCACGTCAAATCGACCTAAAAACGAGATTTGTATGTTGTAAACGTTAATAAAATTTAAATTTTTAAGCGCCAGCTCGACCAGCTCCAAATATATACACCTTCAAAGTGGAAAATCGCGTAGGGGAGACCGGGGATATAATGAACCCGGGGTTATAGCGAGACGTGGCTTTATTTTCTAGAGTATTAAACTCTAAGGGATAATTTTTTTACCAAAACTATATAATTATATAATGCATATGCGGCAATAATTTTTATTTCTATCGGACAGCTTGAAGAATTTTTATAATACATTATATGATTCGTACCTGCAAAAGTAACTTTTTAAAACTTTATAATTTTTCAAAAATAAAGATTAATATACATTTTTAGCACCCAAAAATTATCTTATATAAAATCCTATTTTATAGAATATCAATTTACCAGAACAAAATTGATATTATAAACACTTCAAAATATGATCTTAATCAAAGTGGTGGCATTGGGGCTATTTTTACGAGGTTAGGTCGAACCTTTTTCTCCATTTTTTTTAAATTTTAATTTTAACATGGTTAGAAATTACACACCCAAAAATAATCAATATTAGAAACATTACAAACCTTAGTTATATCATAGTTAAGAGATATAACTTAAGATTATTTTATCCAATACAAGACAGATTAAGTATTTTATCAAAGTAGCAAATATGTGCCTTAAAATAAATTTATCAATAAATGTTATTTGTTCATAATATATTTTAATAAAGGCCAGAAAATTAGCTTATCAACTTTCATGTAAATATAATATAAAAAAAGTATCACAATCTTTAGAAAATAACAAATCTGCTGGTGAAGATTGGTTAACATATTAATTTTAATAAGGATAAATGTAGAAATTTTTTTTGATAATCTTAAAAATATTTTGGATGCTCCCAGACTAACTACAAATGAGATCTTTAATATGGACGAAACTGGTAAAATATTAATTTATATAAGGCATATAAGAAATGAATATTTATTAAAATGTCAGAATAAGGCATAAAATTAATGAATTTATATACAAATATAATCTCTATAATTAAAACCCGACTTTGTAATCTACGATTCATTAATATTTTGAATAGTAATATATCACTCAGTAGTGATTAAAATCTTGGCATTTAATTTATCATATGTTCTCCATATAAAAATCTAATTTAATTTTAATTAATATAAAATTACAATGCTATTATATGAAAATATTATTATTATAGGTTTAAAAACCGTACAGAAACCAGCTAAAGTTTTAGCCATGAAAGTCCAAAAACAAGTTGGAGCTATCAAATCAGGTGAGAGGGGAACTCTTATGACTTTAGCAATTGCAGTTAATGCACTGGGAAACTTACCACAATGTTTATATATCCTAGGAAAAAATATTATAACCACTTTTTAGGAGATGGACCAGTTGGTGCTATTGGTATGGTTCAGACTGGATGTTAGAGGATGACTTTTTAATTTTCTTAAATCATTTTGCCAAACATGTTAAATCTACAAAAGATAGAAAGGTCCTTATTTTATTGGTTAATCATATTCTTATTAATTCTTTTGTTAGGAGGAAGGGATAATATTATTAACTCTCCCACCACATTGTACCCATATATATACTACAACCTTTGGATAAAACAGTGTTTGGCCCATTAAAGAGATATTATAACTCTTCAGTTGAGACTCATGGATAAGAACTAATTATGGTTAACATTTTATAATCTATGATATACCAGGTATAGCCAAGAGTATTTTACGTAGCTACAGTTCAAACTGGTATTAAATAATGTATAATTTGGCCATTTAAACCTATAATTTTTATTGATGAAAGTTATAATACATTCATGAATAATTTACCCAATTCTTTAAATTATGAGTAAACCAATGATAATAATAACAATGTTAATTTTGAGAATATTGATAGTAATGATATGTCATCGAGAATTAGACAATATGAGTCTGAAGTCAACCATTCTTATTCAAATGAGCAAACAACCTCTAAAAATTTTGAATCAGAAAACAATATTCTGCTATTTTAACTTCTTCGCTATATAAAACAAAAGCAATGGAGAGCGCAAATAAAAGAAAAAAAAATGTTATTAATAAGAAAAACAATTGTTTAGTGTGCAAAAAAAATTATTACAAGCATCATAACAATCAAGACTGGTTTCAATTCGTAAATTTAGTAATTGGTCAGATGGAAGCTGTTGCAATTTTAATCCTTTTTATTTGCAAAGATTGTGAATAAGGTCCCCATTATTTTGTTTATATGATTTTATATATTACTTTTTTGCTTTAAATTATTAAATATATTGTAATAAAAAATATATAACTTTTATGTGGAAAATAAAGCAGATCTTATAATAGCCTCGAGCAAAAGCTCATTCGTCCCCGGATAGGGTTCACTCATTCCCAAAATCCAGAAAAAATAAAATTTTGAAAAAAGTAACATGTATTTTTGAAATTTAAACCTACCATAAAACTAATAGAGCTGAACAAAATGAGATATTTTTTGTTAAAAATAATAAAGTACTTTTAATTTTATTAAGGTTTGCTTTTAAGGGTTCGCCATAACCCCGGTCTCCCCAATGCATGATTTCATTAAATTGTTTTTTTTAAATACCTAAGATAGAATTAAAAATAATATCATTTTATAGCCCTGAAATTTTTACATTGAAAAATATTGAAAAAAATAATAAATTACAAGTGGTTTTGTATTTCCGGTAAAAATAAAAAATTAACATTGTTAGGAAAGGATTTTTTTGGGAGTTGATATTTTCTAAAAATGCTTATTACCTTTATATTAAACTATTTAATAAAAAATCTAGATAGCCATTTTTGTTTTTTTAATTTTATTAAATTTTTTATTTTTTAAAATAAATAAATAATATAGATGGAGTTATATTCAAAAATTATTATAATATTTTTAATAAAAATATGAATTGTATTGGGATTAAAATAAAAAAAATCAAAACAGTATAAACAATACGATGTCCTGAGGCCATATGTAAGCAGTCAGCCCATATCCATACAGATATGATTATTATTAGAACGCTAATTTGAAAATTTTATATTTAAACTATGATAAAAACATATCTCTTATATATATATCGTATTATTTGCCTTTATTGATAGAAATTCCTGAGGCCATAATTTGTAGATATATCCTTCACTGTTATGAATCTACTATCGTTATTTTTTTGATTAATCAGTTCAGCAAAAAGTCAAGTAAAATATATTATTGCTCTGACGGATCATCTGTGCAATATAAAAACATAAAATATTTTATAAATCTGTGTTATCATGAATCAGATTTTGGTGTAACAGCTGAATGACATTTTTCAGCTATATCCCGAAAAGGTCCATGTGATGGTCTTGATGGAACTTTAAAAAGATTGGCAGCACGTTTAAGCCTTCAGCGCACCAGTATTGCATGCATATTAACACCAGTGAATTTATATCAGTTTGCAAAACAAAACATGCCATGAGTAAATTTTATATATAAACCAACGAATAATACAATTTAAAAGAGATTAAACTATGAGAAAGATTCAATTTAAGTCTCCCCATTCCAGGAACTCGGATATTTATATGCAGAGGACTTTCAAATTGACTATATCTCAAATACCGATAATTTGTCTTTTGCCGATATTAAGGATACGTAAGATGTGTTATACCGATAATTTTTCTTTTGCCGATAGCGGTTAACCACAGTACTAAAAAAGAATAAAATTACTGAGGAGATATAGATTTCCTTTTTACATCCCTATTCTTATTTTACCCCACAATTGAGGAAAAGATATGGTTGCCCTTTAATGATGTAATAACGTTAGTAGATAGACGTACCTTAAAATTATTGACCCAGGAATTTCTATTAATAAGTGCAAAATGGAATACGAAATATGTTTTTATAATAGTTTGAATATAAAATTTTAAAATATTTTTATTTTACAATATAGCCTAATAATAATCATATCTGTATGGGCTGACTGCTTACATATCGCCTCAGGACATCATATTGGTTATATTCAATTGATTTTTTAATTTAAATCCCAATACAATTCATATTTTTATTAAAAATATTATATTATAATGATTTTTGAATACAACACCATCTATATTATCTTTTTTATTTATAAAAAATTTAATAAAATTAAAAAAAACAAAAATGGTGATCAAGATTTTTCATTAAATAGTTTAATATAAAGGTAATTTTTTGAGAACATCATCACCCAAAAAACCCCTTCCTAACAATGTTAATTTTTTATTAGAAATACGAAAAATTTGTCTATAAATTTTTTTTTTCAATATTTTCTAATGTAAAAATTTAAGGGCTATAAAATGATTTATTATTTGTAACTCTATCTTAAGTATTTTTTTAAAAAAAATAAGATTTAATGAAATCATGCATTATGTGATTTTTGACTTTGAAGGCATATATATTTGGATCTGGTTGAGCTGGCACTTTAAAATTTGGATTTTATTAACATTTATAACATATAACTAACATGACAAGTTTCATTTATTTTTTAGATGGTCAGCTTAATCACTAGTCGATTTGTCATGGAATTACCCATATATTTCTCACACAATCAAATATTTAAAAAACATGCTAAAAAATTAATTAAAAGTTAAAAATAACATATTGATGTAATATATAAATTTAGATTATAAATAGCAATAAGATACTAAATAATTTAAATTATCAAGTATAGATTTTAAATATGAAAAAATAGATAGTTGTTTCAAAAAGATTAAAAATTGGATGGATTTTTAATTAGGCAATTCAGGCCCAAAGTCTAAAAAGGAGTTATATTCTAAAAAATATTTTTCTATGCTATTTGGAACAGTTTTCCTGATCTAAGTATCTAAATTGATTACCAGAATATATATAATTTATTTTATACCATGCTTTTACTATATCTTCACTAAAAGAGGCTGACACAAAATAGTTACATGAGGATGAGAAATAAGGAATATCATGATCATTTGGATCAACCGGATTTGATGAATCTCTGTGATATCCATTTTGTACCTTGATATCATCTGCTAAATTATTATTTTCTAAGCCATTTATCTTAAATTTTTTTTTCTTCTTATGATAGTTATCTTTGCTAGGACCTATAGGTGTTTCTTCTTTACTATTATTTGTTTTTGTAATACCATTCTGAATGTGTTTACAAGTTATAGACATATTGGAAGGTGATATAGGATCACAATTATGCAGAATTGAAAAATTTTTAAGGTAATTAATTGATTCGATGTGCCCCACAAAATTCTTAAGGATTTGTTAAATAAAAAAGAATAAATTAGTAATTATAATTAATAATATTTTACTAATATATATAAATAATATAAAATGAAAGAACTTCATTTTTTATTGTTAATATGAAACAAAAAATTATTTTTCTATCATAATTATAAATAGTTTTATTGAATTAAGAATCTATTTTATCTATATTTGCATAAAAAAAATAGGTACCTGAACAATTTGTAGAGATTCAATGTGCCATAATTTAATATTTCTACTAGCCGTTAATAAATATTTCCCATCATCAGTTAATGATATGCTTTGAACCCCATAATCATCAGCCTTCCATTTTCTATAAATTGGGTATATAAAAGAAAAAACAATAATGGATACTTAAATAATTTGCTTTGATTTACATCCCATATTATAATGTTATTATCATTTGAACATGAAAATAAATAACTATTGTCATTATCCCAACAGAGGTCATTGACAACATCAGCATGTCCATTCTCCTTTATTTATTTGTAAAATTTTATAACTTAATATAAATTACTAATTTTCCAATTATTTCACAATTGAGATAGCTATAGATATAAATCAATCCATTTTGAAATCCTATGGCTACCAAATCAGATACATCAAATTTGTGTGCGCTTTTTTTTTTATTTCTAAATATTCCTTTATCACTCTAAGTAATATAAAAAAAATATAAAATGTGATATTAAGAAAACTTTTGGCCATGCCCATTTAATAACTGAAATTTTAGATGATAAATAAGAAGGAATAATACATTCTTGCGTAATATTGTTCTGGTCGGTGTCAAAAAATTGCAATTTATTATCAGGTGTTGATGAGCAAAAACATTTAAAATTCGGACTCAAATTAAATTTTTCCATACCGTCTTCACGGAAAAAATATGAATGCATGAAATATTTAAATGTCCGGGTGGAAATTTTTTGGATATATATTAAAAATGATTAGCAATTATTAATTAATAAAATATATTGATTAGATATAAAACTATAAGGAATAAGGTTTAATTAAATATATCAGTAAAGTATTATAAAACAAATTTATAATAACGCTCAATAAAATTAATAATTTATATTTAGTTTAATTTAACTAAAACTGAAGTATTTAATCACCCTACATCAGAAAGGATTATGGCAGAACTTACAATATTAATAATCTACAATCAATTCTACCTGAGAGGTTACTACCTGCTAAATGATTGACAGCTGCCACATTTGCACTCTTATCACTTACTTGCGGTTACGACTTGTTTTGATGTTAAGCTTTATTACAGATCCAGACATATCTCAAACTATTATTTTAGGAAATAGCATTATTGGTGTTAGTATATTAGCTCTTCCTTATTCTTTCGAGAAGGTGAGCTTGTTTATTAATTTACCGTAATCATTTTATATAGAGCGGCATTGTATTATCTTGTTTTTTATTTATTATTGCATCCTGGCTTAATAAAACATCATGTTACCTCTTAATAAAATCAGCAACCTTAACTAAAACAAATTCATATGAAAATCTAGGTTTAATTTTTATTCCCTTAATTGATTTTTTTTAAATTTAGCTACATGTATATTGGGTCCTACTGGAAAAATAATTACTGAACTTAGGTAAAATAAATATAAGTATGATTATATATTAAATTTTATGTAGTATAGTAGGATTTTTATTGGGTATATGTTCCGCTTACTATATAGTTATAGGAGATTTAGTTCCCAATATTTTATCTAAATGGCTTTTCATAGAAGTAATTTTTTAATAGTTTAGGAATATTTCACTGTATTCTTGTTTAGAACAATAAATGGCTTAGAACCTGGACACTCATCATCTTTGCATTCTTTATTATTTTACCATTAAGCTTAGTTGACAGAATTGATAAATTAAATCGTATATCATTCATTTGCATATTATTCTATATCCTCTTTGCTGTCAAAGTAAATATGTGTTATCTGATATTTTTGTAATTATTGCATTTTAATATAATGTATAGATAAATTATTTTTTTACATTATTAAATTTGATATTTTATTCTTTGATTTTATTTATACACTTCTAAAATTTAATCATTTTATAAATTTTATGCCTGACCCATAAAAATGTAATCCTCGGTTATCTAGCCTGGATAGAAAATCTTTTTTATTGACCTAGCCAATAGGCTTCATACTGGAGCATCATGTCCTCTAATAAGTATCTGAGACCAGGATAGACAATTATGTTAATTAGCTAACTGAAAAATCATACAATGGATTATTTGGACATTCTCATATTTTCAACTTTTCTTTGACACCATTTTCAAAATTGACCAAAATAATCTTAGGTGTGCAATAAAATTATATGATTTTAAAAGTAGACCAAAGTCTTAGAAAATTTTAACCAGGAATTGTCAAAGAACTAAAATAAATTTAAAACCTGATAAGCTTGAAGATTTTTAAAATATTGGCATCTCATTTATTAAATATAAATTTTTATAATATAATATATAGCTATTCTTTGAAGCTCTACCTATCATTTTAGACTTATCCTGGGTAGATGAATTATGTTACTGGAGAGCAAATGGAATATTTAATGCTATTCCAATCATTTCCTTATCATTAACGTGCCAAACGTAAATTTAATTCTATTAATATAATATACTCTTTTATTCATACTATTTTACTAAACATTTATTATCCTGCTTCATTTTTATAATATATTTAAATTATTTTTTGAATGATTATCTTTTACATATAAATCTTATTGATAAATTACAATTATCTTGTACTTTCAAAAATTTATTAATTTAAATAATATGTTTTTTCTTCAGGCAAATATTTTTAGTGTATCAAGCATTGCTAGAACCAAATCAGAAACGGATATCTAATGTTTATAAGAATGCCATTGACATCTGCACATCTCTCTACATAATCGTAATTAAGATATATTATATTCCTAAATATCATATCATTTTGTTTGGAATTAAAAATAAAAATTTGTTAAATTTGTATTTTATGTGCCTCTATTTCTTTACCAATTTAAGTGGATCCCCTACTATTTTTTTTTAGGGTGCTCATATATTTTTTATTTATTGTCTCCCTCTACCCCCTTGTGAATATTGAATGCATTTGCCCTCCCCTTTTGAATGAATCCTAGAGATAAATACCCCCAACCAACCAGAATTTGAATAGATTTTTTATATGCTTTGATAGGGTAATTTATTTAGAACACTTAAATATTTGAAGTAATAAATTTATGATAATCTGGGACTTAGTTTTCTATAATAATATAGTAAATTTATTTTACCATTTTTTGATATATATATCAGGGCTTCGAACTGAACCGAACCGCCAAACCGGAATGAACCGTTATGATTTTCTGAACCGTAACCTTAACCGAACCTTTATAAATATTTTGAACCGGTTCAAAACGGTTTTAAAAAATAATCAATTTTAAATTATTAACCTAAATTTGATATTTTAATTTTCCTTGGGGGAATTTTTTAAATTGGTGATTTCTTTTCAAATTAAATATTTTTATATTATCAACATTATATATCAATTAATACCTAGTTTATTGTTTTTTTCTTTAAATACTTATTTTATTAGAGATTAGGCTAATTATCTGTTAATTAGATAAGATATCTTAAAATCACACATAATATTCTTGGCTAAATTAACAAGTTTATATATATAAGTTATTAATAAGCTAAAATTAAATAAATCTACTATTAATAACTAACATCTAATAGAAATCAAGTACTTTTTACATTCATTTTTATATTATATGGTTTACTTTTTATCTCATTATAAAAACTTGGATCATAGAATTTAAATGACAATAAATAAAATGGTCAACAATATTTTAATGATACGATAATTTTTTATTTATAATCATATTGTTTTTTTAAATTCAGAATTCTAATATTCATTTAAGTCATTATAAATTATTTATTATTAAAATAATATTTTTAACATTTGAAGAAAGAGAGATCGCCAGAAAACATCTTTGTAAAACTTGGAACTTGATACAAAGTCTAAATAATCAGAATATTGAAATCCTAAATACTATGCCTACGCGTTTGCATTCGAAAAATAATTTAGATGATGATTTTGTAAATTTATTAAAGTCGCATAAAAGTCTTAATAAGAATAGGGCATAGAAAATTAAAATAAATGTATAGAAATAGAATATATAATTCGGTCATTTGATAATATAGAGAGATTAGAAAAAGATACTAATCTTTTGAATTATTGGGAAAATGTAAAGAATAGTATGCCAGAACTTTATAAGTTAGTTATAAATGTGCTAGCAGTTCCAGCTATGCAGGTATCCATAGAAAGAGCATTTTCTAGCCTTAAGTTTATACTCTCTGCGCAGAGAACTAAATTAAATCCTGAAATATTAGAAAATATTTTAGTCATCCGTTCTAATTCTCTTTTTAAACATAAATAGTATTGTCATTATATTTATGTGTTATTTTATTCCTTATTGTATTAGTGCATGTTTGTTTTTATCTTATTTATTTATGAAATAAAAAAAAATTAATTTGTCTAATTTATATTTACTAAGTTTAATAAAAATATCTATTAGATTGGTTAAATTAAATAAGAAATTATAAATTGAAAAGATTTTTCTCTAAAATTAATATATACATGGTTAATGATTAATTTTTTTTAAATCAAATTTATAAAAACCGGAACAAACCGAAATGAACCGTTATAAATTATAAATCGAACCGAACCGATATGAATTTTTTTTTAAAAACCGAAATGGAACAAAACCTTTATAAAATTTTAAACTAAAAACCGGAACAAACCGAACCGTTATGCTTAACGGTTCGAAACCCTGATATATATAAACTATCCCCATATTGTCCTGAATTTAAACATTGACTAAATTTCATAATATATTAACCTTACCCCATCCATACTGTATTGCTGCCACATCTATAACTTTGGAGCAACTGCTCATGCTCAGTTACTTTATTAAAGTGTTTACTAAAAATGAGGACCACTGGGAATCAAATGTTTAAATACGAGATAGCTCAAATGCATTAACCTTGCATCTACACCAATCAACCACTACGTTGTTTTAAAGACTGAGTATTTATATTTTAAATCTAACAAAATTTTATTAAATCTTTAATTTTATATTGACCTTCCCCTATTTTCATGCTGACTTACTGTCATCTTTCTAACTCTCTGCTAATGCTAGTGCTGGCTTTCATCAGAAAAAAAAGTTCCTAAAAACGGGTCTGATATAACCTCGCCTTGTGCTTTATATCATTAGGATGGTTAAAATTATTCATAAAAAAATTATTTTAAGATTTTAACCCCTTTTTTTAAATATATATTAACCATACTCCCGTAATACTAGCTCAGTACTATCTCTAACCTTTGAAAACTGTTAGTGCTGTGTACCTTGAGAAAAAAGGGGTCCTGTTGGGAATCAAGCGGATAACCTATAATAGCTCTGACGCATTAATCTAGTATTTTATCCATTACACCTCTAAAGTTTTTTAAAATAATCATTAAGAAATGAGTATTTTAACAATTTAATGGCCAGATTTTTTAAAAATATTTAAACGCCCTCCCCTTATACTTTCTGGCTAGCTACAATTTCATCAATTCTTTATTTATTACTTAAAATAATCATTAAGAATTGAGTATTTTAACAATTGAATGGCCAGATTTTTTAAAAATATTTAAACGCCCTCCCCTTATACTTTCTGGCTAGCTACAATTTCATCAATTCTTTATTTATTATTCGTACTGACTAGCTTCAGAATTAGGAGTACCAAAAATAGTTCCCAATGGTAATTGAACTACCGACCCTTCATTACACTTGTAATTTTTCAATCCATGAACTCCCTATTTATTAATTATTTACTAAACGATATATAATTTTCATTAAAATAAGTTTTCTTTTATAGTCTCACGATTTTTTATAAAAATATATTTAAAAAACAGCGAATGCACATTAGTGATGCACATTCCCATTAGCCAGTTTTTTTTAGTAAAGATTGATATAATGTTGTGGAAGTTATTAAAATATTTTTTAAAACTTTTCTTTTTATTAAACATTTCAAAATATAATTTAAATTTGGGAATTTTTTTCTGATGTCCTTTTGTCCACTATATTTTGTCTGCTGGGTCTTTATTCAGGACACTTGATCAAATACCGATTAAACTGCTGGAAGCAAATTATTATATTCAAAAAATTATATTTTAAGTTTTGACAATCAGTCAATTTCATTAATAATATTTGGGTAATTGACCAAAAATAATTGACTCACTCAATGTCAATGGTATAACTAGGTTAAATCAATTAAGATTAAAAAATACCAAAAAGTTTTTTTTCACTTGATCATAAGTGTATTCTTTTATATTTATAAATCACATATTTTATCATTATTTTCTGTGATTTTTAACTTTTTTTACCTTTTATCACTTAAATTAACTTTTTATGATAAATCTTTCTAACAAAAAAATGAAGGGTATACACCAAACATAATGTTGCTCTATATAATTTTTTTTTAAATTACCTTAAAACCTGTGCACTTCCTCTAATATTAAAGCCAACAATATCTTACTAATCGTTATTTGATGAATCTCAAGCATATGAAATAATACAAGTATTTAGAACTCATATAATAAAAATTCGAAAACTTGCATATTTAACTTAACAGGCAATATATGTTGAAAGCTGTTAATTTCATAAAAATTAATCAAATTTTCACAGAATTGCTGACATCTTTTGAACAACATTATATGAGATTAAAACTATCACGTTTTGCCGCTTCTATAGTGAATATTACAACCAGAAAATAAATCACAAAATTGCCACACAAACCTTTTATTAATTAAGATTTTAAATTTTTAAAACATAAAATAAACGAATTTTTACAATTTTTTTATAATTTAACTTCCCTTTTATAGGGAAGCTATGATTTACCAAAAATAATTTTGAACTAAAAATACATTTCTTAAAAATTATAAATCCCCGAATCATAATTTAATTATATTTAATTAAAAATTGTAAAATATAATGACTTAACCAAAAATAATTTTTACATATCTAAAAATATAAAGCTAACGCGATAAAAATAACTCAAAACGAATTCATCATGACTTTACCAAAAAAAATTCAATTATGACACCTCCCTTTTTTCCCCGCCTTCGGCGACTCCAATAGTTGCCTATATTCTTCACCTACCCTTAACACTGGTAAAATGTGGACAACTCCTCTTGGTTGCGATTATTGAACTCCCTTCTTTTTTTTCCTTCACACGTTCTTGGAGATCCTCCATATTGTTCCCTTGGACATCATCTTCGTATATGCCCTGCCTTTCCACATCCATAACACAGGTTTAAATCTTTCGCCTCCCTCCACGTTTATCTTGTTCGACTCCGGGACCTTGCTTCCGGTTTTCCCTCTCGGGCCAATGCCCTCCAATCGCTAGCTAATGGTTCCACATCCTTGAGTAGTACGAACTAGATGCGCTCCTAAGTCTATATATCTATACACAGATTTAAAATTAAATACCCCCCAAAAACGATTTAACTTACATTCGGAAGATTTGTAAGCCTAATACCATAATCCTAAATTTATGAAAAATTGAATCGGTGCTAAGATTTAGAATGAAAACATAAGTTTTTTCAAAAATTAAAGTATCTCACTTCTTAATAGTCTAGAAATTTTTAACTTCAAATGCTGGAATAAATTTAGGATCTGGAATTCTACTAAACAATAAAAGCAAGAAAACATCAATCTAGAATTTTACTTTATTACATTTAAGACTACGTCTAAACTTTATTTTTTGTTTTTAATTCTATTGAATTAAGATACAACTGTCCTGACTTGATTACGTTTTTTAAATTTTTAGATGTAAAAATAAAAATAGTTATAGAAAATTTTTTAAAATTCTTATTTTAGGCTGCGTCCAAAATATTTTTAAAAAATCCTTAAAATTTTAATATTTTCATAAATTAATAACAAAAATTCTTGCGATTGAAAAACTGAGATAAAATAATTCTAATTGTTGCGACTGCTAACGAATATAAATTGTTGCGAACGCTAAACTCAGATAAAAAAATTCTTTATTATATATTTTTCGAACAAAATTATTTTTTTTTTATAAAATAATAATATCGAATATTGATAATTTTCTTTATATTTTTATAACACAAAAAAAAATATTTTTATTTGAAAAATATATAATAAAGAATTTTTTTATCTGAGTTTTTCAGTCAGTTTTTCAGTCGCAAAAATTTTGGACACATTTTAGTTTTAAAAAAATTAAAATAATTTAAATGCATGATATGATTCAATTATTAGTTATTTATTATATAATATTTGAAGATAGGACTGAATATAGTGATCATATATCAGGTTATTTTTTTTCCAATTTCCTCCCAAATTTTCCTATTTTCTACAGAATCTCTGAATTTTTAGTCATTTTTGTGAGGCTCCTATGCACTCTTATGCTTTCCATAAAATTATATTCTGATACTAAAAAATATATTAATATAAAAGGCTATAATCGTTTGGGTTGATAAATTTATAAAAATTAACAGCAGTACTTAGTAATTTTTTATAAAAATTTCAAAAATAAATTTCGAATTTATTTTTTTTAATTATTTTAAAAAAAAATAAATTCGAATAAATACCGAAAAATAAAATTGTACATCATTTTATTTTTACATTAAAAATAGCTTATGTTATTTTTTTCTTCAAAATTTATTTTTTTATTTATTTATATTTTTCATACCTTACTTTTTTTTCTTTGTAAGTGATTAAGTTTGAATGTATAATAATTTTTTTTTACTTTGACCATATTTGTTGGCTAAAATTTTTATCTAAATGTTCAATAAATAATAACACATCAAAACCTTTGAATAAATTATCCAGTTTTTTTATATATACCTAGATTATATATTTATTAGAAATAAACTCATACTTTTTCCCGTTTATTGTACTGATCCAATTAGTGTTGTTAATTAGTCGAGTTCTTTCGACTACCACTAATAGTCGTAGTCATGGAAATCGACTAAAAATTTTAGCGACTAAATTAATAGACTAATTTAGTCGACTAAAACGACTAATATAGTTGACTAAAACAACTATTTTAGTCGACTAAGTTGATCTATTTAGTCAGCATAGTGGGCCCATTTAGTCTACATGCTTATCGATTAATTTAGTCGACTAAATCAATTTTTGAGCCTAACCGAACCTGACCACTGTATAGTTGGGGATAGTCTAGTTCTTCCTACTACTTGAGATATCAGAGAAGATAAACCATAGAAAAGTCACAAATCTCATATTCGTTATTTTTAAAAATTTTTGTTTTTCTTAATTTTTTTGGATCAAATGGGCAAAAATATACATGTTAGATTAAAATTTAAATTAGGATATATCATAGAAAAGTGACAATTGTCATAATCGTTATTTTTGATGTTTTTTGAGTTATTTTAAAGTAAATAGGTAAAAATATTTATTGTAAACATGTTAAGTTAAAATTCAGTTAAGATGTACCATAAAAAGTGGCAATTGTCATAATATTTATTTTTCAACTTTTTTGAATTTTTTAAATAAACTTGTAAATATATATTGTAAACATGTTAAATTAAAATTTTAGTGAAGATACCACAGAAAAGTGACAAGTATTTTTAAACTTTTTTGAATTTTTTCAAAGCAAATAGGTAAAAATATTTATTGTAAACATGTTAAGTTAAAATTTTAGTGAGGATGCACCATAGAAAAACAATTGTAATCGTTATTTGTGAACTTTCTTGAATTTTTTCAAAGCAAATAGGTAAAAATATTTATTGTAAATAAGTTAAATTAAAATTTCAGTGGAGTTAGAAAGTGACAATTGTCATAATATTTATTTTTCAACTTTTTTGAATTTTTTAAACAAACTGTAAATATATATATATTGTAAACATGTTAAGTTAAAATTTTAGTTAAGATGTATCATAGAAAAGTGACAATTGTCATAATATTTATTTTTCAACTTTTTTGAATTTTTTACTGAAACGAGCTGATTTTTAGCTTACGCCCGTTTATCTTATTGGGCGAGCTAGCTAAATAATATGGACTGGTTAATAATTTTTTACTTTTATTTGTTATGTTGAATGTGAGTCTTTTGGGACCTAAAAATAAAAATAGAAAACAAATATATATATAAAAAAGAAATTAATAATAATTAGGAATCATGAAATCAATTTAAAATTATAACATTATCAAATTAACAAAATTATAAAAGTAAAAATAATAAAAAAAATTAATAAAAATAAAAATAAAATACAAAAAAGTTAATAATTATAAAAGATGCTCGCGAATGGTAAAAATTGGAGTTTTTATACTCTTTTCAATCTTCTTTATAACTAATATTCATAACTTAAATTATTTTCAGTTCTCACTATTCAAATATAATATTTTTATCCCGCGTTATAATAATAAATCCAAAAGAACTCTTTATGCAAATTAAATATAAAGTACAGATTTAACGAATCTAAAATTTATTTACATATTACAACATATTTAAAATTTATTAGGTAAACATTAAAAAATATATGCTTTAAAATTTTAACATTTTTAATACCAAAGTACAGATAACTGTTGTGTATGTTATATTTGGGAGAAGCTAATGAGATTGAAAAACTTCTTGGATTTGATTTGCATGGAATAATATAACATCGACGTGAATAAAAATATGATTTCACCCTTTTTCCAAAAGCAAAAAATTTAATTATTAAATTTTCAATACAATGTTGAAATAGGTAGCATCCACGTCAAGATTAAATCACAACAGAAGAGTAGATGAGGTTAAGAGAAGAGAGCACACTTTTTAATTACATAACCATTTAAATTTGAAAGTAAGGAGATTGATTTGTAAATCTACACGTATAAATAAATTTATTAATTTGAAAATTATATAAATAAAAAAGATTAAGTTTTGTTAATTGGTTAGTTGTGTAACTCTCAAACCCGTGGTTTGGGTATAAAAATTGACTAAACCAGCTCTGATCACGAGCCCTGGAAAAAGACCCTGGGTTCATACCCTTAATCGCCACGATTTTTCACTAAATTTTTCTCGCAATTGGTCATACAAACCACGTTTTCTTTGAAAAATCAAAACAAATCTTTTCCTCTTTTAATATTTTTTTCAAAAAAGCAAAAACATAGCCATTCATGGCACATTTCCCCTATATTGTCAATATTATTTTTAATTTCATATAATAAAATATCGAATCCTGTTCCTGGATAAAAAACCCTTGAAAAATACACTGAAATTTTTTTTTCGAATTTACTTAAGACCTAATAATATCGGTATATTTTTATTTGGATTTAATAAAATATTAGTCGTCTCAACACTAGATCCAAAATTTGCCGATATCGCCTTACCATTATTATAGAATGATTTATAATGTTTACCTAAATTTCTTCATTCACTCATTTTGAATAAGTCGAAAATAATATAAAATATTCTTATATCATTTCATTCATATTGATCACTAAAAAAAATCCCTAATACATTTTATTAAATTGATTTTAACCAATTTACTTAAAATTAGCTCTTGAAAACAAAATTTAAAAAATTTATGCTTAGGTCGGTTTATTATTATTTTGTATAAAAAAGTCAATATCGGCTTGGAAATACCGATATTGATTTCGGTACATCTCCAATATTCATATTAGTTTAAAAGATGTATTTTTTTTATAGGTAGGTAGCCTAGGCTATGTGGCATTCTACAAACCAATCAATTCATTGAAAGGCGATATTTTAATCAATCTAAACCAAAAAACATTATCCCATTTTTCGCTCTTAACCGATCTCATAACGTTAGGATTTGCAATGAGCAGCGCTCTCAGTTTTCCTCTATCCCTCCTACCCTGTAAAGAAAGCTTGAAACAAATATTCTATAGTTCTTCAAAAAACTTGGATGACAAAGTTTTCATACCTATATACAGAAAAAAATATTATATTATATTATACAAATAAGTTAAATTATATGATTTAAATTTTATCTTAACGAAGACGAAAGAAAATTTTTTGGTGCTCTAATTAAAAGTCTAATTTTTGCAATTGGTTTAGTTTATTTATGCCAGTTCACCAAAATTTGATTCCGGGGTTCATGAATGTTAGTTATTTTTAAAAATATCTAAATAAAAATACCAGTGAGGGATTCAAAGGGTTAGAAGTATAGTTGGGTAATTACTATATTTTTAGCGGCTAAACCAAGTTTTTAACCCAATCACTTTGGCCTTAGGATTTTTCTTAAAAAGATAGAATTTGGAAGAAACTATGTAAATTAAAACGCTATAATTACGAATCTTCTCCAGCATGCGCCTGAAGATTGAGCCGACATTTAGCCATTCCCACAAATATAGTTAGAAGTTATCTACCCTTTTGAATAATAAAAATAATTAAGAAAAGGGTAGAAAGGAATCCTTTATGTTTCTAAGTTCCTAAATGTTAAAACAACATTTTTTTCCTTTATCTTTTTCACTAGAGATTATTTTCAAAATTCTATTAGCCTTTGTAACTTCATATTTTTTACCTTTTTAATATTTTGGGTTTATTAATCCTATATTAAAGCAATTTTTTTCCTCCATACATTGATTATTTTGTCTATTTATTGGGGTAACAAGTCAGTCATTTGACATAGGAATATTTGTATGCAAAATTCTAAAATATTATTTTGTGATTAAATATATCACATAAATATTGTAACACACTTTGATGGAATGAAATAACAGTTTAATGAGTGTATACAGCCTGACCTTGGTTATTAGTTCGAATCGGATGAAAAACTGAATCAATGACAAGTGTTTGACAGCGGACAATATTTTACTTCATCGAAAACGATTAGAGGTCGATTTTGTAAATTTTTGACCTATTATTATAAAAAATAAACACATGCGAATTCTTCATTATCTTACTATAGAAATCAGACTATATCATTCACATTTATTGTTATTAATTAGCTCACGGTTGGCTTCCTCTGTAAAATTTGCAACAGAGTTCTAAAACTTTTGAGAAATTGTTATAGTGCTTAGGAGAGATAAATGACCACACCTTAGAGAATGAAAAATTTTTATGCTTCATCTATTAGCTATAAGTCATTGTTATGAAAAGGGGATCCCTTTTAACCCACTTAAAAAAGAGTTGGTCTTTCCACCAGAAGATGAAAAGATTAAAAACGTGTTTGAAATAATTTAAAAAATTATCAATGCAATTACCCATTATGTTACCTTCTTATATTATATCCCCAGACCATATTTTATCGCATAAATATCTGTCAATTGACCGATTATATTTGACTGGGTACATGAACACATTTGGTATAAAATGTTGAAGTATCAAATTTTAAACGGTATATAATATAAGAATTAAAGGTGATAAGTATGAATGATTACTTTTTTATAAAATTTTTTATGTAATATGAATCCGAATCCTTTAAAATACTTCTTTGATAAGGTTTCATAGTCTATGAGTTCAGATTTATAAAGAATCTCACTGAACCCGTGTTCACAACTTTCTGTTTCGTTTCTTCCTTTACTCAATTTTGACATTTTCCAAATATAATTGCAGAAAGAAGTTCATTATTTTTAGGATAATCAAATCTATTATTTTCACCTGATTCTTGTGGCAAAAATGTTGATAATTTATAGAGCATTTTATTTGGGAAATAAAAAAACTACTCAATGTTAATTGTTTACTCTGCAAAACCTTTGTGTTATCTTTATTGTTTTCCTATATATTATCAATTTCATTTCAAGTTTTAGACAAATCACTAAGTCATTTTTCATATATTTCCTTCAATTCAAACGCGCGAAATGTAATGTAAAATTGTATTATCACTGATAATTATGGTGCTTTATCTTATTATAATTTCCAACTTACCATAGATGATTGTATGAATTAATATATTTTTTATAACAAAATCTGGACTTTCTACATTTTTAATACTTTCATGTTATACGATTGTGCCGATATTCAATATCGGATCGGTACCGTATTTAGCTTTTTCCAAAAATATCGGGTCGGGCCGCTACCTGTAAAAACCCGATCCGATCTTTTTATATTTCTTTATTTTATGTTATGTATATTTATTTTATATTACTAGCTGATAGCCCGTCAAGAATGACGGGGAATCAGAATTATCTCCTTATGGATAAATAATAAACTTTACCTTTATTTGACGATGGATGAATTAGAATAGTCAAATGAGAGGAATAGATTATCCGTATTCATATTATGGAAAATATGGAATAAAAAATATGATTTGTGAGTTGATATTTATTCAATTCTTTTAACAAATTTTCCACAACCATGCACAATGGTTTCTGCCCTAATCTACTTTCATCTCAAAGAATCATTTAAATGCTCTTAAAACCTTCCTAATTACTCTTTTAAAAAAAGACCTGCCATTATAGATTCGAATCAATTATGATCTTATATTAAACACTCTAAATATTAATTTAATTTGAAATTTAAAATAAAATTAAAATCACAATATACTAATGATTTAGAAGCCTAATCGAACCAGTTTTATATATTTTTTAGATTCCGATTTAAATTATAAAAATTTTTAAAACTATGGCAGACTCCGTTCTCAAAAAAAAGTCAGGTTCGTTTTCGATCTTTGGATTTATCTAATCTTATACCATTTCAAATACGTCTTAATTAACATATTTGACCCCGTAAAATTAATTTAAATATAATTGTAAATATTACAAAGATTTTCCTTACTTCATGGATAAATTTTTTTTTAGAGAAAATACTCTTCATTTGATCTCAAGGAAATGTCTGAAAATGATTTAACGCAAGAGGATAATAAACCACTCGTAGATTTAGAAATGATGGATAATTATTATAACGGTCTGTAAGCCCTTATTTTTAGATAAATAAAAAAAATTATTTTTTAAAATAAAATCTAGAGATCTCTAAATACCCCACTCACTGAACGTGTATAAAAAGAAATCTTTCTGATATTTTTTCCCTTGTATTTATAAATTAATCACATATTTTAATTAAAAAATTCCATTTATAAATTTTTTTTAAAAAAATCTAGTCAAATTCCTTTTTCACCCTCCCCTCTTAATACTCACTAAACATGTATAAAAAGAAGTCCTGCTGATAATATTTTCCCTTTTATTTAATGCTTACCTTTATATATTTTATTAATTGATCATTCAAATAAATATTAAATTTTAGGTTGAGCTGGATTTTTATTTTTAAACCTAAGGCTAGACCGTGTTTTTTAAAGAGTATATTTAAAAAAATTAGTATTGGTAAAAAAAAACAAATTAGAAAAATTGTCAATCTAGAAGGGAAAAAATTATTTCATTTAATGAAAATATGATTTTGAAATATTTAGTACCTTAGAGACGTTATATTTTTTTGTGCATTATAAAATAAACATTAAAAACAGAAACACTTGATTCAAACTACGATTCTTTTAGTATTAGAAAGAGAAGTCCGGATGATTACCTGTGTTCTTCGAATAATTTTAAAATAGCTATAAGCGATATAAATGAATCATGTTCTCGAGATAGAGTCTTAACTCTGGGTATCGTTACACTAACCCTTTTGATTGGCATATTTCTACCCAATAGTAAATTTCAATATTTAATTAGATTGATTTGTTGCTTACGCATTATTTTCAAGCAGTGGCGTGATTAGGGAAGGGGGGGGAGTGGTGTTCTAAAAATTAAAAATATTTTTTGTTCTTTACATATTTTATCGTTTAATGAAATTTATATAGTTTGGTGTGATTACATCATTAATTTTTGGCAATTTCTTTGTTATTTGACTGTTTCTTATTATTAAAATTAGTTGAAGTGATGCTAGGTCTTGTAGGATCTTTGATGGGTACTATGATATGTAGTATTCTCCCGGCTTGGATATTTCTCAAAATAAAAGCTAATAGTCATGAACACGTAACCTCCCATTTTTATGACATCAATTACCATGTTAACTATAAAGATAGAAGGAAAGCCCAGGTTATAAAAAATATATATTATAAATAAAAATAGATCAGTATATGCGTTTGGAGAACCTTCAACATAGGGTCTGGAGTCTGACCCAGGTTCATGGCATAAACTCTAACTGGCCCCCTTTTTTCTGATTTTATAATATATTTCATTTAAAATTATTTTCGTATCACATTAACATTACCTCACATCTGGGACAGACCCGCGTTATTAAAATCTTAGTGATGCAGCTATTTTTTAATATATTCAAATTTTTGATGCATTAGCTCAAAAATGGAAAATTTTCTGGTAATTGAATTTTTAGGATTCTAGTTTATGTACATTCATTTATGAAATCTTTTTTTAAACCAATAATATATATATTTTTTAAGCACATTTTTATTTTAGGTCGTTTTATTATTTGGTGTCGTTATACTAATAGTCGGAACATTAAATTTCTCATTCGAATCAACACATAGTCCCAACTTAAAAAATCTTAAAAATCCATCAATTCATAGTAATAATTTTTCTATTTATTTATTTCAGAATGTTAATGATTTGAAAGTTTTTCTAAGATTTTTGTTATTGCACATTGATTCATAATTTTTTAATATATTTATATATCACTAAGGCAATCAATTAACAATAATCAATAGTTTATCGATGATTAGGGGAGAGGATTCGTTTCAAGCAATTTTACCCGTCAGCCCAAAATCGCTCACTAGTGAAAATGATATGGCAGATAATATAATAGATACATTAAATAATCCAAAACTAGATGATCAAGGAATGTATGATACTGCTATTAATCAAATTCCAAACAAAGACAAAATTATTCAAGAAACAAAATTGCATAAGATAATAAATGAAGATATTAATCCAGGCCGTATACTACTGGAAAGTAAGACGCTAGTTGGAAATAATGATTCCTTAAAATCATTAGAACCCAATTTTGTTTTGCTTAATTTATCAACCAGTAAGAAGATAGAATATATGTATAAAATAAATCTTTCCTCAAAAAATGATTCTAAGTCTAACATGATTATTAGTTCTTGAACAAATAGAGCAATTATAATTAATAAATTTTCGGAAAAATGTTAGATGGTTGATTTTTAAAAACCATAATGGGCAGCAACAATTATTTTATTAAATATTTACATAATATATTGATTTTCCCTTGTTTTATATTGTTATAAATATAGTAAAGTACGTTTTGTATAATCTGCAATATTGAATAATCAGAATTTTAATGAAATGGTTATGAAATAGAAAATCTAAACTTATATTTTATAAGTCAAATAAAAAATAAATTATAATTTTTTCATTTAATCAATAGTCGTTTGTAAATCTTCATAGCGAATTTGGTGAAATTTTCTGGAACGTTTTCACCGTTTATGTCAATGGCATTAAATTGAGTTTCTAAACTAGATTTATTGTTTTTATACCATATTTGAAAGGAAGGTAATTCTGCGTTTGATTGATAATCCTGGTTACTTTAATATAGTATAACATAAATATTTAATAATTCAGATAAATTAATACAATAAATGTAGTTAAATCTGCAATTATTTCGTCAACGGGGAAGGGATAATAATTAAAAGAACGTTCTAACTGTAAATATATTTCGACAGGAAGTGTCTTAAAAAGGCCATGTGAAAAGTGGTGATGTGTAGAGAATCTATAAAAAAAATATAAGCAGGTTATTATTATTTTTTAAAACTCGAAAGATAATTATATTATTAAGGTAAAATTTAGATTCATTAATTATTTATGCAGTTAGAGTACCTAATTGTAAATACTTAGTGAAATGACAGAATAGCCTGAACAAGATTTTTTCAGAAAAAGACACCTTAATAGTAATAGAACCGAATTTTTCTTATTATTAAAATGTATAAAACAATTATTTAATTATACTAGAATTTTGGGCAATATCTTATAAAAAATTATATTAATTTAGTTAACATCGTGAAAATCGCATAAAGTATTTTATTAGAGCTTAAAGAAATTTGGTAACCCATCTTACCTTTTACTTCTACGATCTTTATCACATTACCTTTAATTTCTAACTTCCTCAACTATTAATGAAACATATTGGCCCAGCACTCGTCTATCTAGGATTTTATACAAATATTAAGAAGTATAATGTCTATCTGTAAAAGAAAGAAAAAAAAGATATTTTTATTTTATACCCATTTCCGATTTTTGGTAATAGACATATTTTAAATATAAATTTTTATTATATTAAAGGGCTATAGCTTAATTACTTTTTGAGATATTTTAAATTAAATACTTATAATTCATTTTATACATATTTTTAAAAGGTATCGAATTGTTTTTTTTACTTTGAAGATCCATCTTTAGATGTATTTAAATTAACTGCGTCAACTGATATTGCATCACGAGCTTCCCCATCATCAATGACAACCTTTTCGTCAGAATTCTTTTTGTCATGAAAGATAAATCTTAGCATTGTTTGCCCCATGCTTGACTGTGATTCTTTTTTCCTCTTCACATTATCATTTACAATAGTTTCATGTGTATTATCTTCATTAACTACTGTATCATAACTGTTAACTGCTTTCTTTTTGGTAGGCTGTTTAAAATTAAAAATTTGAGCTTTAGATTTTTATTGACTTTATCATAAAACTATTTTCTAAATTTTTAAATTAATAAAAGTAATTAGTTATTCTTGTCGCGAAATATTTTAAAATTATGAAACTAAGGGTGTCCTCTTGATCGATTTATCTCTCAAAAGGCTATTAAAAATGCTTATAAAATATTGATCAAAAATTTCTAATGTTGATTTTAAAAAATATAAACGCCTTAGAGTGATCACCTTATGGAGGTCTACAAGGAAAACATTAAAATGTTTTTCAATGCTAAACCAATATAATATTTTTATATAAAAAAGATATTGATAAGTTATCAGAATATATAATCAAACACATACTTTATTGGTTTTAACGACTTCTTTATTTTTCCGCTTAGGATTTACTATATTTTTTGTGTGATGGTCTTCTTCATTCAACGATAACTTCTTGTCTATAGCTTCTAATGCAGAAAAACTATTGGTCATTTTTGATGTGTTCTTTGTTATATTGCATAATATGCAGATAGGAAAAATTAAAAAAGATACAATTTTGAGTTAGAAATTTAATGCGTTCATAATTTCCAATAAGTACAAATACAATTTAAACCATTAAAAAAATGTATAATAAATAAAATAAGATATGCCAAAGAACTGCAGAGAGCATATAATCAATTAATTTAAGCCCTAACCAGTTACGAGAAAAACATGTTTTTTAAAAAATATTTGAAATATGAAGAAAAAAATTTCAAAATATAACTTTAAATGGATTTGGAAGTAATTTTCTTGAATTTGGTGAATCAAATTTAGCATTTTTATCAGGTGGAAAAATAGTTTGGCGAATGAAATTTTCTTTTTTATTTTCTAAATTAGGATGAGTGATGGTCGATATTTCTGAAGAATCTTTGGTATTATTATAATCCTTGCTAATATCTATAGATTTATTTTTACCTTGAATAAAAAATTTAATGTTTTTTATGGTAAAATGATATACATTCTAAAATAACTTATATTTAGCAACTTTAAATTAGGTGGTCATTATAAAAATTTTTAGTGCAAAATTATCAGCATATTTGAGAAGGAAATATTTTTCAATTCTATTATGGTTAAAATATTTTTTAAAAAATAACCTTTATAATCCATAGAATAGGAAGCGGTTTCGTTATTCACAACGCGAATAGTAGGTGTTAGATTCACATTTATAGGATCATATATTCTGTTTCAATTACGATAAAATTTTATTTTACAAAAAGAATTTTGGTTTATAAATTGATAAATAATAATTACAACACTTATGCATTTCATTATACATGCACGTAATAACCATAATTTTTATTAGGGCAAAGGGGAGGGGGATTTTAAAATTTATTAAGAACTAGTAAATTAAAAATAGACAATTACTAATATCTAACTAAATAGTCTGTAAACTAATTTTATCCAAAAAATGCTGTTGTAAATTATTAAATATATATGGTGAATTCCATATCAAATCAATCAAGGGTTCAACCCGACCCCTTTCAATTTTTTTTAAATTTTGCATACTGGTAGTATATACTATAACTAAGAAAAAAATGAAATTTTACCTCCCAAAAAGGCTTACCCGCTAAGATATGGGCGTTTAAAGCGCGGAAAAATGGTACATTTTTGACAAAAAGTGCCTCATTTATTTTCAAATATCTCGAGAAATAATTAAGTTAGAAAAATAATATAAATTTTATTATGTAGCTTAATAATAGTTCTTTAATATGACATAAAATATGATGAATGTCCAAAACCGGATGTATAAAACCGGAAATGGCCATAGAAAAAAAAGGTATTTTTTTCGAAATTTTTTTTCTGTAGATAGATATAACACTGTTTTATATTTGTGCCAAATCCTAGCCTGGGATGAAAAAGGGTCTAGGAGTTATGACTCTTTATATGGCTTAAATTGATCAAAAATATCTTCATTTAATGAATACTTATGAAATAATGTTTATTTAAAAATTATGTCTAAATGAAATGCCCTTACTTTTTTTTATTTATTAGCATAAAACAATCTATCATAATTAAAATTCAACAAATATCATCATATTTAATTGATAAATTCACATTCATATTGTAGTTTTCGTAACCCCTAATGTGTAAGCTCTATAACTTTTACTTCATCTTAAAATCATAATCACAATTTTCATTTATATTAAAGAAAAATGAATTCTCCGAATCGAAAATAGTATTCTTAAACGGAAAAAATAATAAAATTATTATATTATTGGGAAAAAGAAACTATATTATTATAAACTAAAAAAATAATAAAATTATTATATTATTGGGAAAAAGAAACTAAATTATTATAAACTAAAAAAATAATAAAATCATATTATATTATTGATCAAATCGACCATTTAATTATTTTCGACTAGAACAGTGCTAATATTTTGAGTGGAGGTTAAAAATAATAACTTAATCATATTTGGGGGGACCATGGTTACTAGTCCATAAAAATTAAGGTACAATAAAAAATGGATATAGTAAATTTTTCAAAGACTAGAAATTAATATTTAAGAAAAAAAATCTACTATTTTTTTATTAATATAGAAATTTAAGAAAAATAAATACCCAAGGTATTTATTAGCCTTTCGCGGTATGTATTGTAAAGGTTGTTAAAACGACCCAATTACGATTTTAGCCAAAATATAATGTAAGCCTTTAGATTTGGCAAATAGAGGTTCAACCCTTTCTGTCATCTATGAGCAAAATCTCCAAACTTACATAATATTATTTAGCCTATATCCTTAACTGGGTTGTTTTTAAAATCGACCTGAATCAAATTTATAGATTTTAAAAAAATAAATTATAAAAAAATGTTTAAAATTATTTGAGAAATTTTATGACCAGTGATAACACTATCAATATTTTTTTTAAATTTATAAATTCAAAATAAATTTTTTTAAAATTATTTTGTATGTTTTTAAATATCAGTAGTATCAGTCTGAAACCCAGCACTTTGAGATATGGGAAAAAATCGGATTTATATTAAATGAAGAATGATATAACGGATATAAGCTACATGAAAATATAAATTCTAATTGAATACAAATTAAAACTAACCTAAAATATGTATATTTCAATTTTTTTTATGAGTTTTTTATTTTGTAAATTTTTTTTAACTTGGTAAACTATTTATGAAGATGGATCATTATATATTTTTAAACATTATCATAGTTGCACCTGATACCAATTTTTTTTTTCAAGGACAAATGTAGGCTAAAAAATATTAAATTTATGTTCATTATCATTTTTGGGTATCGGTTAAAATAAAATTGAAGGTCTCCAACAGTATCGATCGATACCAAAGTTTATGTGCATTCTGAATATAAAATTCAAAATAATTTTACCTTTTGATCTTGCTTTCATTATATACGGCAGAATTATTTAAACCATGACCTTTATTCGAGGAAAAGTTTTAACATTATAGATATTAATTATAACTACCTTTAATTAACTTTTCACTATTGGAAAACTTAACATTATTATCAAATAATGTATGGTTATCGAAAACAGATCCGAATTTATTTTCTTCTATCAGTTGAATGAGTCTCTTTGTCAGAATCGTTTTTCTGCTTTTGGTGGCATATTTAAGGGCCAATTTTGCACTTTCGAGAGTAGGCATCATTTTGCAAACCTCGTAAGCTTTAAAGTCTTTATCCGTTTGGCAATACAGCTAGGAATTATTTGAAATATAATATTGCGCTTACAATAAATAGATATTAATTTAATGCTACCTTTAGAAATTATAAGTGTAACAAATTTTGAGCCATTCTGATTATATTTTATATTTGCCTCAAATAAAATGATTATCTAAATTTTTCAAAATAGATAAGTTATACTGTCTATAATTAAAAAAGGCTACTTAATTAAATTATCATTACAATCATGTTTGTTGAAATTTTATAATAATTTTACCCATTAAAAAAAATTACATAATATTAGTTTTAATTGTGTCACTTTTCTTGTAAAAATAATATTTTTAAAAATATATTTAAAAAATAAATATTTGTATTTGTATATATATTACAGCAAACAATTTGATCAAGTGATTGGACTGATTTGCTATGGCTCTTTTGAATTCATCATCATCTTCTGTAATCTTGTTTCGACTTGTATACCACGATAACCAATAATCGTTCTTGATTTGTGATACAAATTATTATGTATATAATTATCATATTAGGTTTAGATTTGTCATAAAACTTCATTATAGTGCTTACAAATTGAGCCATTGCGATTTATAGTGCGATTTAAGAGATATTTTTTAAAAGTATGCAGTCTTGTCTAATTTAAGGCAATATTAAAAATTTAAAATAATAAATGAATAGCAAGCTAATTTGCAACATTTTAATAATATATTTTAAGCAATGATCGAATCACGCTATTTGAAGGATATCTATCATTTGAAATTCAACATTTGAGATTCAATGCAGCTCAAAATCGTGTAATTTACCTATACTATATCATTTTTTTTTAAAAAAGAAGATTTAAACATACTCCTATCTTTATTTTTAAAAAACCGTTTTACAGTAAGGTATGGAATTTTCAATTTTAAGCAATTTGACAGGGGTCGTTGAGGGGAGGGGGATTAATAAGAGAGGGCAACATCAGCTCGGTCTGTACAAGGATCTGCATATATATTCTATAAACTCTGACAATCTATTAAATAAATATCCTAAATAAACCGAAACTAAACCGAACTATTAAACCGTTAAAATTCGGTATTTTTTATCGAAGCTAAACCGCTAAAAATTTTCCAGCCGAACCTGAACTGAAACGCTAAAATGCCTCTGAACCGGTTCGAGCGTCAAGATTTTATGCTTATTAAATAATGTATAAGTTATTATTAGTATATTGCAAAAATTTTAATTATATTCGAATTGTTTTAAAGATTATAATCAATCACATTTGATTGATAAGTGTCAATCATAACTTTTATTAACTCTAGTATATTGACATTTTGCAACATTTTTTAAATATTTTAAGCTTATAAATTATTTGATTGATAAGTGTCAATCATAATTTTTATAAACTCTAGTATATTGACATTTTTTAAATATTTTAAGCTTATAAATTATAATGCCTAGAGAAAAATTAAATCCAATATATAAATTATTTACATAGTATTATAAATGACACATCAAAATGTAATATTACTGATTGTAAAATAAATATGAAAGGCCATCATAAAGCAAATCTTGAGCGTCACATAAAAACAAACCAAACTCTATCACAACAAAGGCCTAATGAAATAAATAAGTAAGATGTCATCAAGCTAACAGACGATAGAAGAAGCATCAAACAATATCAGTAAAACTAAATAAAAAAATAATAATAGATCTGTACTGAATTGGTCATTTTTAATGGCAGACCATTCAAATTGATCGATGATAGCTCTTTAAAAAAAATCTTAATCCTATATTAGAAAGTATGGGTAATATTAAAATTAATTCTTAAACTATTCAATCTAATGTTGCAAAATTAGCCTTAAGTATTCGGCAAAATATAATTAAAGAGATAAATGGTAAGTTATTATCTCTAAAAATTGACTGTGTTACTCGTATAAACAGGTCCATTATTGTGATTAATTTTCAGTATATTCAGAAAGCAAAAATTGTTCTAAGAACACTAGCATCCCACTGCATAAAATTTATAACTCTTTTTAATAAAAGTATTAAATAACTATAATAACTGATAACGGGGCAAATCTTATTAAGATGGTAAAATTATTTATGGAGGATAATGAATATGACAATCAAATGTCTGAAAATGATGAAGAACAAATACAAATTGTCTGATATTACACTAGCAATGCCGGCCACCCAAGTTAGTGTGAAAAGATGTATTATCAAAATTTAATTTATACAATCTCCTTAAGGTTGTAATTTAAGCGAGACGAATCTTGAAAATATATTAATTTAATTATGCGGCTAAAGATAAAAATTTTAAGTAATAATCTGTGAATTCGCACTAATTGTTCATATTAAAATTAATTATTGATAATTATTTGTTATATTTATAAAGTAAACATTATTTTATAATGTGCAATAAATAAAAATGAATATGTTCCTTTATTTTAATGGAGAAATAAAAAATACATTATTCTCTATATATAATTCGAATGTAGGAATACAAAAGTGTTCAAACCGGATTTTTGAGGTTCGAACCGAATCGGTATTTTTATTTTTTACAAACCGAACCTGAACATTGAACCTCTATTTTTATCCGAATCAGAACCGATATTCGTTTCGTTTAATTTCTGATTACCATATCATTAGTATATGGGAATTCAAAAAATTTAATATTTAAATAAAAAATATACTTGTAATTTAGTATGCTCAAGATCCGGCTCATTAAGTGGCAATTGAAATGGTAGAATTAATACATTGGGTTTAGGGAGTGTTAAAGGATAATTTGAGCCTTTACAAAGAATAGCCCTATTGTTAAAATGATTTCTTTAAAATGTGCATCGAGTATTTTCCATCTAAAAACTCAATAAACCCTTTCCCTCAAACTTTTCCCATCAACTTATATATGTTGTATTCCATATTAAATCAACCAAAAAAAGTCGATTCTCAACCCGACCCCCTTCAATTTTTAAAAAAATTTGTATGTTGGTAGTATATACACTAACTAATAAAAATGTAAAATTTTACTTTTCAAATCGGCTTACTTCATGAGATATGGCCATCTTTATAAACGCGAAAATTCCAAAATACAGTATATTTAATTTTAAATATCTCAAAATTTAATAAAGCTTAAGGCATGATTTAAATTTTATTAAATAGCTCTAAAATAGCCCTTTAATATGATATAAAAATTATTTTATTAATAAAAAGTCTATTACCAAAAACCGGAAATAGAAAACCGGAAATAGCTATAAAATAAAAATTGCTCTTTTTTTTCTTTCAAATTTTTTTTACAAATAGACATTATACTTCTTAATATTTGTACAAAATTTTAGATTGGGACCATTACTGGGCCAATAGTTATTACGCTTTAAATATAAATAGTATGGCTTAAATCCTAAATTATACCAAATATATAGTAATTTACGAAACAAATAAAAAGAAAATTCCTTTATGATCGGGCAGATTATATTTTTTTATAAATGTTTCGGGCTGTGAGCCCACTAGTAGACATTATGTCAAATTTAACATATAAGTTTAGCGATTTTATTTTAGAGAGAAAATAATTGTAAAAATATTTATAACTTTATTTAGCTAATTATTTATATTACATGAATATCAAATGGAAAATTAATATTGTTATAAACATATTAAATTAAATAATATCATACATTAAATTATCTAATGAATTAGAATAACGTTTGACTTTCATTTTTCCATTAACTTTCATTGATATAAAATTATTCATACCTGGCATAAGTCTGCTGTTTTCGTCAGAATTATAAAATTCTATTACTTTATTTGCAATGTCATCCGGAATTATTATACTTGGTTTTATGATATTTGGGTTTGACAAAACATCCTTTTCTTCAACTAATTGTTTAGCTGTCCGGGCCATAAAATTTGTGGTTGAAAATTCCTTTTCAATTTTATCTCAAGAGTCCAAGATTTTGGTAAAACTGCTAAAATTTGTATTTTTTCATTGCGAGAACTTGTAGCAAATTTTTCTTTCAGTTGATTTATGATTTCGGCTTCATCTTTTTTTTGCTTGATCCTCTAGATTTATTTTAAAAACTTTTTTAATTTTTCCCTGAATTTTCAAAAATTTATTTACAGGATATTTTTTTTCATTTAACCTTTTCTTTTTAATAGGTGTCTCCCCTAAAAATGGCAAAGTTTCATTTAAAGTTGAAATTGAAGTATTAAAATCTGTATAAGAGTCGGGATTATTGCATGGTTGATCAGGTTCAGAATCGCTAAATGTTTCATTAATAGTTGAGGTAGAAGGTAAGTTAGAAATAGAAGGTAATGTGATCGGGATCGTAGAAGTAAAAGGTGAGATCAGATTTGTTGAATATTTTTTTAATTTTTTCCGGAAAGAGCTACAAATTTTTTGATTAATTGATAAGCTAGAATTAGTTCTATCATTCATTGTAAAACATTTCTAAGATCGTAACGTACTGAATGAGATTTTATTCTAAAGGGATTACAGCACTTTACTGGAATAGAAATATCTTTTCTAGACATTTAAATTTTTTGGTAAGGAATAAAAGATAGCTATTAATTTTATATAATTATTTTAAATTAAAAATAAATTGGATAATGAATACCGATAATTTAATTTTCTTAGAAAAATGGCTTTATAAAATTAATCATGACGGCTGTTGCTGTTGGAATTGAATTTGATTTTTATGATAATTATTTTATTTGATAATTAATTATAAGTAGAAAATAATCTAAGTGAAAATATATTTCTGACGATCACAAAGATAATTTTTTATCCGGCAAAGAAAATAATCTACATAATTCACTCATAAAATTGCCAGGTCAAAAATCTCGAATTTAAGAAGAAATTTTTTTTTAGGGGGGGGGGGGAATATAAATCTTAAGATAGGGTTTAGATTTCAGTTTTAATACTATTATTCACAAATATTATAACTTTTGTTAAAAAAATAATTACTCATTTCGTATAATATAGAATTTAAGCCATACTATTTATATTTAAAGCGTAATAACTATTAGCCCAGTAATGGTCCCAATCTAGGATTTTGTACAAATATTAAGATATATAATGTCTATTTGTTAAAAAATTTTTAAAGAAAAAAAAGGGCAATTTTTATTTTATAACCATTTGCTGTTTTCTATTTCCGGTTTTTGGTAATAAAATTATTTTTAATATAATAAATTTTATATCATATTAAAGGGCTATTCTAGAGTTATTTAATAAAATTTAAATTATACCTTTAGCTTAATTACTTTTTGAAATATTTAAAATTAAATATGGTGTATTTTGAACTTTTCGCGTTTCTAAAGATGGCCTTATCTCATGAAGTAAGCTATGTTAAAATTTTATATTATTGCTAGTTAGTGTATATACTACCATCATGCAAATTTTAAAAAAATTGCTAGTTAGTGTATATACTACCATCATGCAAATTTTAAAAAAAATCAAAGAGGGTCGGGTTGAATCTTCAGTTGATTTGATATGGAATACAACATATATATAGATATTTCCCATTCATTTCTTAATGAAAAATTGGCCTTATTTTATTTATTTCTCTAATTGTGGCTAGGTTAACAATATAATTTATTTATTTATCGTAATTTTATATACCATAGTAATATAAACTGATATTTAAATTTTTTCTAACTATCAGAATAAAGATTACAAAATTTTACCTGATCTGAGATGGGTCATCTTGTATTGACACGATCCAATAATTATCCGATTTATTTTTAACAATGGATTTAGTATTAGCTATAGATAACCAGGTTGCGCCACGGTCTAAAAGCAAACTAAATATGTGTCCACTTGATAGGGCGATAAAAAAATTATTTCTTTCGGAAAATCTAAAAGTATATATTTTTCTATAACTTTTAAAATTTATTTATAGCCAATTTTAACTATTGTGGTACCTACTAAAAATGGTTCTAAATATTTATTTTAAATGTAGTTCTGATTTCGTTTAAAGAGGTTATGGGTTTTGGCTCTGGTTATTAGATTGGATGGGGTTTCGCAGCCCTAAACTCTTGTTTTAATTCAAAGTGAATCTGCACTGGCAACTCAAAATTTAAAATGATAATTTTAAACAATATTATATTTTACAAGATTTTTTTCCCAATTTATATGATAATATATAGATATCTCATCAATTAAAAACAGATTGATTAATTAAATTTGCGATATTTTAATAATACCCAATCCAAGTAACTTTGTTATTACGAGAATCCTTAGATGGCACAGGTATCTTATAATCGCTCATGATGGTAGCATTATTCATCACATCGTATAGATAGAGGTACAAATTGACCGAATCTTTTATATTATTTTAAACAATAAATTGAAATAGTGTTTTATGATAAAGAAATAGATTTTCAAAATATTAGAAAAAAAGATATAAAATATTTGATGATGAGGTAAGTCCTCAATGCAAGTTGTAAAAAATTTGATAAAACTCAAAATAAAAGGATAAATTATTGAAATGCAATAATTTGAGATCGGTGTCATTGAGGAAAAAAGAGAGTAGATCTCTGATTTATTATTTGAATTAGTTTGAGTGGGGGTGTCTCCTCTATTAATGTAATAGCCTTAGAGTTTTGGGGAAGCTAGCAGTCAGTGTACAGTCCCAGATATAAAGTTAAGGATTTAAATCGAATCAATCCTTTAAAGATAATAGATTATCAATAAAATTTCCTTCTTGGATGTCCTCTTAGGATTGTTTATATAATATGATGACCGAATTGTAAAAATTATTTCCTATGGTCGAAATTAAATGTAAATGGATAACATGAAGGAAAATAAAAATAATATGGCAGATCTAACGTGGTTTTGAAACAATTTACAAATTACTTTTAAAGAATATTTATATAATTGTCAGTGGCTGGGCGTGTAATATTGTTAGAAACATGAGGTTAAATTATTTTTTAGATCATAAATTAAAAATATGCATGTATGGAAATATAATTAGAAAGAGATTTTATATAGATTATGAAATCAATGTATTCAAGAAGTAGTCGTGATACACTCTTTCTAATCTTTAAGTAGTCAAAAATGAAATCCTGACATGAGACTTTTCTGTGCCATTCATCCCAGTAATAGCCAACACTCTTGGCCATATAGCCCCAAAATTCAGAGCCGCCATAGGAAAGAATTTAAATTTTTGTGCACTTAAATTTTCTCATTTTATAAACGATATTAACATAAAAATAATCTGTATCTTTATTTCCCAAACCCTTACAAATATTAGTTTATGTTTATTAAGGTTAAATGATCTTGTAGAAAGTTTATGATCTCATGAAAATTTTTTATAATGAATTACCAGTGTAAATAATGGCTAATAAATTATCCCCCCCTTTAAGAGACACAATGTCTCCAGGAACATAAAAAGGTAGCCTTTGGATTCCTACAATATGGTATATTCTTATCATTCTAGCGTCTGTGGCAATGGCACACCAATTATGACCCAACGTGATCGCCTTAAACATTTTTAAAAAAATATTTTTTACTTAAAATCATGGATATCATCTGTTAAAAAAATATAAGAATTCAAATTTAATTTATACTGATATGTCAATAATTAACATATTAATATTCTAAACTTTTAAGCAGAGATGGATAGATGCCGTTTTTGCCGATATACCCCGATAGTGGTGAGTATTGGGCTGTTATCACCGATACTTATATTTAAAAAAAATTTTAAAAACTGATTACACAATAACTTAAGCATAGTTTATTGCATCCATTTTATAATTTTTAAAATAAAAATTAGTTTCTCAGTAGTATCTGGAAGAAGATTTTTTCTTCGTCATGAATAATCAATGTTGCTAAAAGTCATGGAATATTTGTTCAGATATAGTGAGCTGCCAATGATAGATTAAAATTATGAATTTAAGATTTCCTTTCTTTTCTGGATTGATAAGTTTTTTTCCATAGAATTGACTAGTGTTTTGAATCATTCCTGAAAATAAATACAACTTTGTACATTAGTAAGATAGGTTCTAAATTTATCCAAATTTTATTTTGAGAGTTCTAGCTCGAGAAGGTTATATTTTATGATGTTAAAACTTACTCAGATTTATTACCTTTATATAAATAATTAGCCGGTATTATTTTATTTTTTTTGAAAAAAAAATGAATAAGCTTTTAAAGCTTTATTTGAGTTTTTTTGAAACTTTAAGAATAAAAAAATGCTTATAGATTGAGTCTAAGAATTTTATTGTTATTTTTTCAATAAAAATAAAAACTTCACATTATAAACAACATTAACATATATTAAAAAAAATATCAATTGTAGCCGTTTATTTTGGTTCTACCCTATTCAAACACAAAATAAAACCTCATATTAAAGTTATATTTACTTCATTTTGTAAATATAATGTTAAATTCCCGATAAGATAATTTGTATGTGCATCCTGTGGCTGTTTTTAATTAACACCACGATTATATGTTTTTGAATAAAATAATGAGAATGATGTTCATGTGGGTTCAGAAAAGTTAGATATACTAAAACATTGCTGTATATGGGCATTTCTGTCATTGATCTGAAATATTTTCTTATGGAGTAAACTGATAACAGCAGTGTTTTTAAATTACATTTATTGTGTACAGATTTTTTTTAATGTTATTTTGAACAAAAATTTTTTTTTAATCTAAGAATATCTCAAGACATAGAGATCGAACTGCATATCCATAGATCTGTGCCTTTATAATATCAACTGTTTGTTTTTAATTGTAAAATTTTTGCATGTGGCCAAAAATCGCATTTTCTTGGTCGTTTTTAATATTTAAAAAAGGAAGGTATTTAAATATTTTAAATTGTTCTTCAATATTTTGAGTTTAATATTTGAACTAATTTCTGTGATAGTTTTCATCCTTTTTAATTATTATTTACATATTAAATATATTCTTGGATTATATATTTTATACTAAAATCTTAGTTGTTTTTATTCTTTAATTATCAAATACACAGTTTCAATTTTATTTCTCTAAATCATATTTTTATTAAAAATAAATTATATAAAAAATGCAACAAAAAATTATATATATCTGTTTAAAAAAATATATAACGCATATAATATATTTATTTATAATAACAACCAAATAATAATTTTTCCCTTTAACAAATGAGCGAAAAATACAAAAACATAATTTTTTTTATCTCTCCATAACAGATTTTTCAAAAGTGTAAGTCACACGGAATACTAAAATTTTATTTTTTAGAAGAGAGCCAAAAAGTAATAAGAGTATTTTTAAAAAAATATCGGTTCGAAAAAAACGGGTAAGCACGAGAACGGCATTTAAAAATTATTTTGTTAAATAAAAATGGACAAAAAATGTCACAATTTTTACGATAAATTATAAAAATATTTTATAAGAAAAAATATTTTCCAAAAAATTATTCAACTAAACTTTATAGGGAATAATTTGGCATCTATCAGTCAGGTACTTTAAAAGGTATTGGTGCATCTCTGCTTCTTATCGTAATTATATATTTCATTTTATGGAACTAAATATTAATTCATAATATTTTATTGTAATTATACTTGAATATTTTCGCCTTTAGGAAAAGTTACTTCCCATTCTTTATTCATATCCCAAGATGAGAAATGTAGGCATTTCAATGTGCTAATTTAAATAAATTCATATCATTTAAAAAATAATAAAATTTGAATAATAAAAAGGAGGAGATTCATCTAAGAAAATAATATCAGGTTGTTTCACGCTTCTAAAATTTCCGATCATAAAATGGGTTTAAAGCTGACAATTATAATATATCTCTACCACAAAATTTCAATTTCTTATAAATATTTTGGTTTTGTAAGAAAGTGTACATGAAATATCATATTAGATATAGTATAATACTACTGATCATCCGAATTCTGATAAGCTAAAATAACAGCTTGTTCCGACATATCTGCTATGGAAATATTGTCATTTTTATTAGCTAGCCTCATGGAATGATGAATAGATTTGTCAAAGAATTCAATTTCTATAGTATTATTTTGATAATCTTGACTATCTTCATCGGCAAAGGATTGAATCATTCCTACACTGTTCCATACCTTATTTTATAAAATATATATAATTCAGTAATTAGAGGTTAAAAGAAAGAGCTTAAAAAATGAATATATTTTAAAGTAATTGCCAATTGCTCGGGAGGGACAAATGTTTGCAACACACCTAAATTTATAATTAATATTCTCTATTTGGGTAAAACTTATTAAATCATTTTTATTTTTTAAACTAACCAAGTAATGATCCCCTAAATAGCCTGGAGTCGATCCAGGTTGAAAAGCTTTTTGATTGATTCTGCTTTCTCTCAGTCCAAAATTTTTACCTCTACCACTTCTATCATCTTCCTTGCTACCCACTATAATATCATCATTACAATCTTTGCAAATTTTTTTATCCAATTTTTCCTCGATGTAACTTATCACGGTGGCCTTATCAATGGTATTTTTTTCTATCACATTTTTTTTATCTATGGTATTACCATAAGATGATTTTAATGTTTGATAATATTTGGCCTTCACTTTGCCTATGTCAGAAAAATCGTTATCATAATCGATATTCGCTTCTTTATAATTTTTTTGAAATGGGGTTTTGGTGCCATTATCTATAAACTCATCTTCGCTTATCAAACCGATGGGGTTCATTTTGGATGCCTCTTTAAAATAATCACCAAATTTTTTGGGACTTTGCTTGGATGAAACGGCTGTATAAAAAAGAGTATTTTATTTATATTTTAGAATTTATAAATTTAAATATTTTCTTAAGATCGATATGTCAAAATAATGTCTAAATTTAATATCCAAAATATAATTATTTCCGTTTTTTAATTTAATTATAATCATATGTACTCATTTTTTAAACATAATACTAAATTATTTTTTTAAAAGCATTTTATAACTAATTTTACGATTTATATCCTGAAAATTTTCTGATTCTTGTTCTGTAGGAATGTTTAAATCTGTATCTAAATCTTCCTTTTCTTTAATAATTGCATCTAAGTCATCTAAATCGTCGTATTCATATCCCTATTTTAAATATATAATCTATATTCATTCATTAATTTTTAACATGGAAATCAGATATGTTCCAGGATCAGAACTTTGCTAAAAATATGAGAATTTCTATTTAACTTATTACATTAATAATAAATGTAATATTTATAATCCCATAAATATTCATTTCTAATTTTTTTATTGCCAGGTTGTTATACCCATTTATAATTATATATTATAGGTATGGGATTTAAAATTACAAAAACATTATTATCAAATTTATATTGATATTACATCCCGGCATGTTAAGCTATTTTGTCCAGTCAGATCCATTGAGATTTTTTATAAAAATTAACCTAGCCCAATCCGTAAAACAAATTATAAATCAATTTTTTTTGGCACTCTCGTATCAGCCAAAGAAGTCAAAATATTATTTATTTTTTTAATTAATTCTTTTAATTCATTTTTTTTATTTAATAAAATTTTGCATCAGCCCTACCAATTAAAATATTTTGCATGAGTTGCCACGCATTTAAAATCTACATAAACAAATAAATTTGATAACTATCTACTACTGTATTACACTGCTTACAGATTTAAAATTTAGTTGGAGAATTTACATGTCCTTAAAAACAGAAATCTTACAAAAGTGGAGTTATATTTTGTTAACAATAAGAAAATGTGTTATTGCTGGGGATGTAGCTTCATCTAAAAGCATATCATGTTCCTTTTTTTGTTTTCTAAATATATGTTACCCATCTATTTTTAAAATAAGGATGTGAGTTGCTAAAAACCCTCTTATACTTTCCTTCTAAAATCAAATGACATGTAGAGGATGTGGGCATTGTCAGTGTTACAGATTCACTAAAATATACTATAAACATGGCTCAATAAAAAAAACTCAGTGGAACTGGAATATATTCTTCTTCTAGTTCTATATCATTATCTTCTTCAAAAAAATTAATATTTATTTCTTTGGTTTCTCCTGCTCATTTTAAAAATAAAATGGGATTGGATATTAATTTTTCGCTAACTCAGGTCATTAATTTACAGGCTCGGCCTCAATACACGAATCATATAATTTAAATAAATCTGTGTCATGCCCCGGGTTTGAAAATATAAAACCCGGACTAGGATTTTTTTTAAAAAATCCGTATAATGTGGATTTACATTTAAAATTCAATTTATAATTAGAAAAATTAGAAAAATTATTTCTATTTATCTGAAATCTTAATTAATATAAAATACTTTTATTTAGTAATTAAAATAAAAGTTCAAATAAATACTAAATACAAATAAGAATTTTTATTGATTATTTTAAAAACAAGTATTCGTGTTTCTGCCTAACCCTGATTAATAATAAAAAATATATGTACTATTTGAATTTTGGGATTTATATAAAAATTATGATTGAAGAGATAAAAGGAAAACAATTTTTTTTTATATAAACAGTTCGTACTAGTGTTCCTTAATCGGCTAAAAACTACACCTTAATTAGACTAAGACTAAAAATCGGCTAAAACTACATTTGTGATGTGCACGTCTAAAATTTTAAGCAAAAAATATTTTAGTTCAAAAAGATATTTTGATTTAATAAGAATTTTAAATCTTCTTTGTAAATAAATTTGTTTTTGAGGAATTCTTTTGCGCATTTATTTATATAAATAAACAACTTTTAGGTGAAATTTATCTTTCTTTTTTTTAATCATTTTTGTTATTAAAAGATGTGGTTTTTTTCTAAATAATTTTTTAAAAATATTTATATTAAAAATTTTTTTTATTTTATAATACTATTATAACGATAATATTTTAATGTCACAATTGTCATATTCGTTATTTTTTAATATTTTTTGACACAAAAGGGTATTTATATTGTAAAGATGTTAAATTATAAATTTAATAAAGATGTTCTTTGGAAAAATGACAATTGTCATATTCGTTATTTTTAAAGTTTTTGAATTTTATTGACGTAAATGGGCTAAAATAAGTTTTGCTAACATGTTTAAATAAAACTTTAGTGAGGATGTACCCTAGATAAGTGACAATTGTCATAATTATTTTTAAAGTTTTTGGAATTTTTTTGATGAAAAGTGGTAAAAATATAGATTGTAAGCATGCTAAATTAAAATTTCATAAAGATTATATCATAGAAAAGTGACAATTGTCATAATCGTTATTTTTAAAGTTTTTTTGAATTTTTTAGACGAAAATAGGTTAAAATAAATTTTGGTAACATTTTTAAATAAAACTTTAGTTAGGATGTACCCTAGATAAGTGATAATTGTCATAATCGTTACTTTTAAAGTTTTTTAATTTTTTTTGATGCAAGTTGTCTCAAATACTCCACGACCCTCCTCATGTTTACAGAGAGACTGGGATATTCCACTCAACCAAGGTTCCGTCGCTTACCTAAAATCGAGCCTTCACGACGACGATCTCAGTTTTTCACTTATTGAACCAAGGATCCGGTTACAAGTTTCTGGAAACCATACCCTCCAGCATCCTCGATTTGTTGCTATTCGCTGACGAGCTAAGATTTGCTATTGGACTACGGCTCAATTGCGAAATTGTTCTATCGTACCAATGCAAACATTGCGAAATTAGCGTCGAGCGCAAGGGTAGACACTGCCTCCATTGTCGCTTTTATCGTGGCCGTTTTTCACAGCATACCAAATGCAATGACATCATATTACGCGCCCTCAAATCAGGCGGCATTCCATTTAGACTTGAACCAACCGGAATTTTTAGAACCGATGGGAAACGTCATGATGGAATGTCCTTGATTCCTTGGTCAAGGGGTCAGCTTCTGGTTTGGGATTCCACCTGCATTGACCCAAATGCACCATCAAACCTTAACGTCGATGCCCTCGCCCTCGCAGAATCTCGGAAAACCACACAGTACAGTTCCTTAGACCCTTCTTTCCTATTCATACCCATCGCCTGCTCCATTCTCACCATTTTCGGCAGCAAAGCTCAACGTTTTTCCAAAGAATTAGCCAAACGGATCCGCGAAAAACCCGATCAGCCTAAGGAATCGCTATTCTTACGCCAAAGACTTGCTACCGCCATCATCCGCTCTAACTATCTAAGCTTCATCTCTTCCATTGAATAACCTTCCATATTCCAAACTTCCTTTTTTTTCCCCGTAAATTCTATTTCTACATTTTTCACCTTTATTTATTTTACCTTTTGAAAAAATTAATTATTTGTTACTACATTTTGACAACATATATCAGTAAATATTCAAATATAGTAACCCATGACCGAAAAAAAAAATAAAATAGATTGTAAACATGTTAAATTAAAATTTCATAAAGATTTACCATAGAAAAGTGACAATCATCATAATATTTAAAGTTTTTTAATTTTTCTTGACGCAAATGGGTAAAAATATAGATTGTAAGCATGTTTAAATTAAAATTTCATAAAGATGTACCATAGAAAAGTAACAATTATCATAATCGTTATTTTTAAAAATTTTTGTATTTTTTTGACGAAAATAGGAGTTATCTAACATGTTTAAATAAAACTTCAGCGAAGATGTAAACTAGGTAAATGACAATTGTCATAATCGTTATTTTTAAAGATTTTGAATTTTTTTTGACGCAAATGGGTAGAAATATAGATTGTAAACATGTTAAATTAAAATTTCATGAAGATGTACTATGGAAAAGTGACAATTGTCATAATCGTTATTATCAAAATTTTTGATTTTTTTTGATGTATCTATTCTTTTTTTTCTAATTTACTATCTATTCTTTTTCTCTTACTGCACTTTTAAGCTTAACGCCTTTTACAATACTTTCTTATCAGGCACGTATGCAGCGTGGGGGGGGGGGCAAATTCCCCCCCTCCAAGCCAAAAAATGCAGATGTCGGAATTTTTCAAAAATATTATTGTTTATATTAATTTATATTTGTTAATATTTATTCTTATCTCATAAATATATACTTAATTACATTTATTTATCACATTCATCTAATAAGTTATTTTATCTATTAATTTTGATTTCAAGTTTTCCTTGGCGTAATATTTACTTATTATTTTCAAAATTTTAGTGGCGTATTATTTATCTACCATTTTCAAATTTCTAGTCAAATAATAATTATTTCTGAAATTGTCCAATAGGGAGAAATTAATTGCAACCATGTCCAAAGAGATAGAGTCTCCGCCATAACAGCTTTTATGGAGTTAGAAGAGCCGATTATTTGCTATTACAGAAATACACAATGGCCTGAAAGAAATATTTCCTCAGAAGCAAGAAAATTATTGGATTCAGTGCTTATTCCAAATATTTTTTTCTCATTAGAATGTATTATTTAATTGTACAACTATTTTATGTTTTACTTTTCAAAAACATGACATTGACTTGATTAAGAAGATGAGAATAGTGGAGAGCATTTAGAATTCAAGGAAATTAGGGCTAATGTTGATGAAGAATTTCATATATATGTTATTGTTGAGTCAAAAGCAGAGCTATACGTGTTTAATATTTGTCTCGCTCGCCTTGCAGCAAGGCAAGCTCATAGTTAAAACATTAATATAGGATCAGTAGAAGAGTATATCTTAGATACAGATACATTTATAACCCAAATAAATGAATGGTTTTTAATTCATCATGCAGCACTCAATTACTGTTGTAATATGTAAATTTACTTTGAAATAAAATCGAGAAAAAAGAAGTAATATTCAAATCGACTGTAAAACCGAAAAACGAAACGAATTATTATATTATTTGAATAAAGACGATGTAAATGATAGTATAGAAAAGTATATATAATCGAGAATATTTTTGTTAAAAATTATTATGAATTAGCGAACATCATTTTTAATCTTTAAATTTTAATTTTTTTATTTTAGTTATGATTATGTAATTACAATTTATATTAATTAATAAATATAGTAGTTAATTTATTTATACTATTTATTTATATTCTCTTTAATTCTCAACTACAACATTTGTTACCGAAACATTATGTTCTATGGGCATATTCAGTCTAAATAACTTTTCATTATTTGACAATTACTTCCACAAAAGCCTTTCCAACCTTTTTCAGATGGTGATAGAAAAAAAAAATATTTGTTAGATTTTATCAAGAGAATGTTAAAGTATCTTATGATGCCTTATTAGCTGAATAACTATGTTTATAAGATTAACTATGGTTGATATAGTTCCAAAAAATACTATGGATGCTCTGCATTATTTCAAACACATTTTAGATTATATTCCCAATGTATTAAAAGGGTTTATATATATTAGCAACTCTTGCTATTAGGAAACTAATGAGAGAACATTCTCTTTTTTAAGAGGAATAACAAAGCCCTGCAGAGGTAGCATTTGCAGGGCACGGCCCGGGTTTTTTTTAAAAAAATTTTAGGCCCTGTCCGGCCTTTTTTTTAAATAAAATTTTCAGGCCCGGCACGGATTTTTTAAAGTAAATTATATTTATTTTTGATTTTTATAGCTAATAATAACGATTTCAAATATAGGCTGTTTTAAAATATACAGCCCCCGGCCTGGGTGTTTTTTTTTAAAAAATTTAGGCCCAGCCTGGGTGTTTTTTTAAAAAAATTTCCGGCCTGCCCGGTCATATTTAATTAAAATACAGTCCGGCCCGGGGGCGGGGCCTGCAGGTCTCTAAATTACATACCAAGAAGTACAACTTCTGAAAGTAGATTGAAAGGTTTGGATCTTAAGAATATTCATAGGCATTTGACGACAAGCAAGGATGAGATAATTTAAAAATCAGCTCAATCCCAACGAAGATTGGATTTTACATGGTAAATATATAACATACAAAATACAATTATTTCTAAGAAATTTTTTGTGAATTAATTTATATTTCCAACATTTAAATTTTTAATACTTTATATATAAATTTTAAAGGCTCATAAAATTCCTATTTTGAGTCATTTAAGTGATTCACATTAATTTAAATTAGTGTATTAGATATAACTATTAGTCCTAATATTAAGCTTGATATTTTTTAAAAACAATAATATTTCTTAAAAAATTTTATTATGCCCCCCCCAAACTAAATTTCTGCGTACGCGCCTGTTTCTTATTTTTCAAATTAAACATATAATTATTTTCTTACTTGTAATAATTTTTTCTTTCTTCTTTTCTTTTGAACAAAAATTTAATTTTTTTCTCTTTTGAACCAAAAAAAAAATTTCTAAAAAAATAGACAACAATATTCAAATAATGAAGAAAATCTGGAAAAATGACAACTGTTTTTTATTTCGTTTTTATCTATATACATATATATCTACTGCAAAAAAAATATAAATTGATTAATAATATAATTAATCTAAAAAGAGCAATTTTTATATAAATCCTTTAATAATAATATTTTAAAAGAATGACTGCGCAAAAAAAATCAAAAAAATATTCTTCATAGACAAAAAATGACTATGCAATTTATCATAAAAATGACTCTACACTTTACATAAAAAACGATATACATAACACTAACATGTTTAAATAAAACTTCAGTGAGGATGTACCCTAGATAAATGATAATTGTCATAATTTTTATTAAGTTTTTTTGACTCAAATGGCCAAAAATACAGATTGTAAACATGTTAAATTAAAAATTCATGAAGATGTAGCATGGAAAAGTAATTGTCACTTATCGATGGTATTTCTTCATTAAATTTTTTATTTAACATGCTAACAATCTATATTTTTGCCCATTTGGGTCAAAAAAATTCAAAAACTTTAAAAATAACAATTATGACATTTTTCACTTTTCTATGGTATATCTTCATGAAATTTTAATTTAACATGTTTACAATCTATATTTTTACCCATTTTAAAAACTTTAAAAATTATCATTATGATAATTGTCACTTATCTAGGATACATCTTCACTGAAGTTTTATTTTAACATGTTAAAAATACATATTTTTGCCGATTAGTGTCTAAATAAATCTAAAATATTTAAAAATACCCTTAATGATTGTCATTTTTCCAAGAAACATCTTCATTTAATTTATAATTTAACATCTATAAAATATAAATTATATTTTTACCCTTTTGTGTCATAAAATTTCAAAAATGTTAAAAAATAATGAATATGACAATTGTAACTTTAAAATATTTTTCTGAAAAATTTTTTTATTTTTTTTATGATATTTTTTTATGATAATTCTTTTTATATTATTTTTTTTTGAAATAAAAATATCAATTTTTTATTGAAGATATTTTAAAAAAGTTTTTTCTACATATTTTTATTTAAGATATTTTAAAAAAGGTTTTCTACAAATTTTTATATTAAAAAAGCTTTTTCTATAAAATTTAGGAGTAAAATATAGAAATTTTTAATTCCGTAATTTTTTCAACAAAATATGGTATTAGGAGTAAAATATAGGAATTCTTAATTCCGCAGCGTATATATACGGGGGAGGGAGTGGGGTTGGAGAATTTTGCCTACGAATTTAATTTTTTATTTAAGATATTTTAAAATAGATCAATTATTTCCACTATCGGGTCAATCATTCGCAAAATTTTATTGATCCACATGACAGATCAATCAGCTCAGCACCCAAGAAGTCGAAAGGCTTTGGCGGGATCTAAAAGCTAACTATAAAAGGATAGGGATAACATTCATGAATATCTACTGGAATATAGATATTTTAGAAAATATCGATTGTTAGATCGTTTTGATATTTTTATTCATTTTATAAACGACTGTATAAATTTCAATAATATATTTCAATTTAATGAATAAAATTGCGTTATTTAATACTTATATCGTGTATAAATTTTAATCCTATATTTCGATTTAATCCTTCACTACAAAGGTTAAAAAAAATCACAACTTCAAAGGGTCTATTTCACCCCTAACAAAATTAAATAAAACATATGCTGCGGAATTAAGAATTCCTTTATTTTATCGCTAATACTTTTTTAATATAAAAATTTGTAGAAAAAACTTTTTTAAAATATCTTAAATAAAATAAAAATATGTAGAAAAAACTTTTTTAAAATATCTTAAATAAAAAATTGATATATTAATTTCAAAAAAAATAATAACATAAAAAAAAATTATCATAAAAAAATAACATAAAAATAAAATAAAAAATATACCCCCACCCCGTAAGTGGCGATAACCTATTTTTTTTATTAAAAAAACCATCAAATATATAAATCCATTTTCATTTCATAATATAATAGTAGATAAAAAATATTAAATCATATCATATGTTTATTTGTTGATGATAATAAAATATTTACATTAAATATAAATAAAATATATTATTTTACTAAAAATAAATAAAAATTAATGCTAGGCATATCTCATGGAAGGCTGACGGACGATTAGCCATGCAGAATTTTTGACTAATTTAGTTTTAGCCGATTTTTAAGCTTAGCCTAATTAGGATTAGCCTATTTTTAGGCTAAACCTAATTTTAGCCGATTTTTTCATCTAAAATCTGGGTTAAGCCGTTTTGTAGTCGGCTAAAATTAGCCGATTACACAACACTAGTTCGTACTTTTAAAAGTAATGTAACGGTGTTACTCTTTTAAAAAAATAACTTTGTTGAGTAGTGTCGACAGCTCAAATTATAAGTTAAAGTGTTATATAAATAAATATACTCCAATTTCATCATCTCGATGTGGGATGTCGCGAAGTTTAATTACATCTTTAATATGTCCCAATCCCCCCTAAAAATATAATATGTAATTGATAAATTATATATTCAATAAAATATTTACATTCATATCAGTCAACGCTATATGGTATGATTGGCTAAGAAGATCGTTAATCCACCTTAATTCACAGATTGGTATTTCTTTATTCAAGTTAAAGCTAAAATTATTTTTAAACATAGAATTGTTATTATTCTTTATGGTAAAATTTTAATATGGAACTTATTTTATATTAATATTTTTCTATAATCGTAACACAGACCAGGTTTTACGTTCAAGAAAATTAATTAAATACTCTAATCCTTGCATATAGACATTTTTGTATCTAGACGTTTGAAAATTTCTATTTTCAATTATAAAAGTATTCTTGTTATTACTTTACTTAACAATAGCTCAACCTTATAGCTTGAGACAAAAAATTCAGCTTATAACCGTTTTAAATCATAATCAATCCATCTTATTTTGGTATCACTTTTCCAAATCACAAAATATTTGACTACTTTTTTCGGTTATCGCTACTAAATTATAAGATATCAAGTCCACCCCCAAAGGGAAATCAAAATTTTAGCCAAAATATTACTAAGCCTCAAAATTTCGCCAATAGATGTCTAGTTTTCTGTTATCTATGGAAAAAATTCCAAAGCTTGGATAATTTACTTTAGGCTAAAATATCAGAGACATCGAGTCTCATGTTGATTTTTATAATGATGATAGTAAATTTTTTTAAGAAATTTCGTTTATTAATTTTTTTTATTATAATTGCTTTGGTGCTTCGAGATTTTTCATTCTATCTAAAATCTTGATAATAATTTTAGTAATTTCATATTTTGATAACCTTTTTATTTATACTTACTTAACGGATGGAAGATTAAACTCAAATGTATATACATTGACTAAGAATTAGTGTTTTCAAAAGTTTGACAAACTTTATGTTTATTAGAACTGCATGTTAATATGGTTCAGATTCATATTAAATTTTTCAAAATAAATATTAGCATAATAAAAAAATATAAAAACACTAAGTATCAGAGACCTGCAGGCTCGGCCCTAAGCCCAGATGCACATGGGCTGTATTTCAATATTTTAAAAATATATACAGGCAAGCCGGGCCGGGCCGTATATTTTCAAACCATAAATCTAAAATCGCCATTATTAGCTATAAAAATTATAAAATATTTTTTAAAAATCTGGAACAGGCCTGAAAATATAAAACCAGGTCTCTAATAATTATATTAATTCTTTTACTTCTATATCTATCAAATAACCCGAAATGAATAACCGATATATATAATGATCGTAGAAGCATAAGATTAAAAAATATTTTTAATCGGGGAAAAAGAAACCTAAATATATTTTTGATTCGTAATTTTAAATCTAGAAAAACTGATTTATGAATTAATCACCCAAATATTCACTTCTATTATGTTTGTTCTCGCATGAGCCAATTTTTTCTTATTTTGCCAGTAATGTGGTGTTCTTTAAACAATCTACTAAAGGATTGAACATTAATGTAATAAATATGCACTCATTATTGATATAAGTTTCAAAGTTAATATTTACAGAAGTTTGCTTGATTTCACGCTTAATGTGATATATATTTCATTGCTTATAATATGGTTACTTTTATGGGTGGGGAAACTGATTGAAGTATTAATAAGTACTAGTCATGTACTAAATATTAGCTCAAACCAGATATTTAATTTTCTAAATTTTCCATATTTATCGTGATACCAATTTTGACCATTTTTCTTACTTTTGCTAATAACCTTTTTCTTTATATTTTCTAGCCAACGGATTAAAATAATATATAATTAACATGAAACATTAATTAAATTTTCAGAAAATATGTCATTAATTAATCGTAAGGTTAACCAAAATTTTGTTACTAATAATTTTTCCTTTATTTGGCTACTTATTGGTTAAAGCACTCATTGGGACTAAAGCAACTGTTCAGCCAACTTTAATGGCAATGATATTCAGATATTACCTATAAAATATTAATCATCAGGGGAAAATCAATAAAATCTAATCTAATTTTTTTATAGGAGGCCAGACAATAAAGGTTTGGGGATGAAGCCCTAAAAATTTGTCATAACCCCTTTCTTGGATAAATCATGACTACACTACAGCACCTATATGTTTAAAATTATTGGTCTTCTCCACAAATATGTACTTTGACAACAATTTATTTTATTGTATTTCCATGATTCGATTGTACTGTTTTATTTCATATTTTTGGACTTAGTTCCAAATAAAGAAACTTATTAGTACAGAATATTATTAATCTGAAAAGTATCAATTTTCATGAAATTAAGCAAAAGGACTTAGTTCCAAATAAAGAAACTTATTAGTACAGAATATTATTAATCTGAAAAGTATCAATTTTCATGAAATTAAGCAAAACAATTTTTTATATTAGATAAAATGTCTAATGATGACTTTAACAATAAGGTCTATGTTATTTATAATTTTTAGCAAGTTATTCCCCAATTTTCTACAGGAATTTTTCCGATAATTTTTAGTTTTAAGTTCTTTCCCGATTTACATTTTCCAGTGGGCTCTTTCCTAAAGGTTTTTTTCAGCGGCTTTTCTTTTATTGATTACGGGAATTTATACATATATATATATTTATTTTTAAAATATAACAAAGAATTTAAATACTCTTTTTAAAATATAAATTAAATTCTATATTTAGATTTCATTATAAAATTACTGTTTAATGCAATGTTTTGTTTTGATATCAAAAATCACTATTTTTCCTAAAATATCACCACAGGCTAGATATTTACCACAATGCGAAAATCTAACAACATTAATAATCTATAAATTTATATAAAATTTTCTTAATATGCAAAATTACACCTACCGTTTTGAGAATTATATGTCTAAGGATACAATGTACAGTCCAACTTTGTATTTCGTACAATTTAATTTCATTTTCAAGGGGTATAGCTAAAAACTTAGATAAATAAGAGTATATAACATCAGTACATAAATTTACTAAATATATTAATAGAGTAATAAATATATTAAATCTGAGAAATTGTAAAAAAATTCATTTCCAATCCTCTCATATACGGTAATGACATTACTATTAACATAGACTGATTATTTATTCATTAGAATGCATTAAAAAGTGTATACACATTAAATACCATAATTAACAATATTCATTTACAATATTATATAGATACTATATTAACCAATAATATTCCTGATTGACAAATCACCAATTTACAATATGCAGTGAAAGGCATTTAGACGAAAATGGATTGAGTTTTATCATCAAACAAGACTAGTAGCCTCAACTTGAGGAAACATTTAAAAGTAATATATCAAACAAATTTTATATCCATGTGTAGCCCAATCCTTAATCTATATCATGAAATTTGAATCAAAGCTGTATCTTAACAGTTTTTGCGCTAATGAGTTTATGCGAAAGTTGATTTTCTAGCCCTGTCCAAACATAGTATGTTTAAACTGTCATAAGATATATTATAAATTAAAAATATCAATAATTACTATAAACATCTTATTTTATCATAAGACTCATCTAATTGATGGTCTTTATTTAAACACTCATCTATTTATATATTTATAAATTTACATCAAAACATGCTAAAAATATTTATTTTAATCCTTTCACATTTTAACCAATTTTGTGAGAAATTGGTTCAATAGAAAAAAAGTTAAAGGGTGATGTCCTGACCATTTGGCAAACATGCCCATCCACTTATCCCTTATATAATTTTTATTCTAACTATTAATATTAGTGTTGTTAAATAGTCGAGTTCTCCCGACTTCGACTCCGAGTTTTGAGTCGATTAGTCGAGTTTTAAGTCGATTAGTGGACTCATTTTTACAACTCGACTTCTGAACTTGAGTCGTGAACTCAAGTCGCGACTCGAGTTATGAATTTTAGTCGTGAACTCAGCAGGTTAACTTAAATTTTATGAAACTCGATTACTTATATTATTGTTGTTAATTGTTGGTTGTTTAATACCCAGACCTGGCACTTGGCTCTAAAATCGACTGGCATGAACCCCGAGCACAGACACATATATTTTAATATTTCTTATTGAACTTATTAAAGTATATAAATATATGGTTATTAGAGGTATAAATCGATAGATAATTTAAAAAACCTATTGAATAGGCAACAAGCCAAGCGCTACCTCTCGATGGGTGAAGCTATTACTAGGGGGGGGGGGCAGGATTAATTTTATGTATCAAATAAGACTAGTTCTACCTTAATATGGTGAATATGAGTATAACCTGATGGAGGGGGAAATATTTGATATAGTTACTCATATAATTGAACTCATAGGCGTAGCCAGGGGAAAGGGGGGACAAGGGGAAATTCCCCCCCCCTTCAGAAATTTATCACTTTCTATGAATATCATTTTAAGCTAATAAAAAATATCCCCCTTAGTCCTCCCCCCACTCCCTGACCCCCAAAAATGTATGCATATATCTTAAACAATAATTTGAAAGAAAGAATGTTAAAGTTGATATTTTTTTATAAAACTATTCATCATAATTTATACATTTTTGGAAACATTTGTATATAAAAAAAAGCAGAGTTGTTAAAAGATACTTTTTAAATAGATCTAGATACAGATACATCGTATAAAATAATATCTAGACACCGATATTTTAATAAAAAATATATCTAGATACAGATACCACATTTTTATATCTAGATCCTTTAACAACTCTGAAAAAAAGTGAACCAAAAATGCTTTTTAAGAAATAGAATATAAACCAAAGATAAGTCTTAAGACAAAAGTGAAATGTATTATAATTATTAATAATAGATCCATAAAATTACTAAATAATATAATATATCAAATATAATTTTTTATAAAGTGAGTAATTTTAATTTATTTATCTTCATAAAAGTAAAATTTAAATATAAAACGGGTTTGACTAAACTGCAAATGCTAAGGTAAACTGCAAATGCTTCGGTAAAAATTTTTTATATATATTCTATTAATTGGAGTAAGATTCATTTTCTTGTATGTATAACTCATAAAAATTATATTATTAGATATAACCAATAAAAAATTAATAGATATTAATAGTTCTATTTTTTTTAGCTCATAATAGTTTAAATCTATTAATATAATTATCTTAAAAAAAGTATTATAATAACATTTTAAATTATAATAATATAAAATCCGCCAGTTGGCGTATTATTATTTAATATTTTTTCATGAAATAATATGCCAACTTGCGGATTTAATATTAATGAAATTTAAAATGTAATTATAATTATTTTTAATTTAATTATACTAAAGGATTTAAACTCTTTATTATGAGATAAAAGGAAATACAACTATTAATGTCTATTCATTTATTATTGAATATATCTAAGAATATAATTTTTTATAAGTTATTTATAGAATAAGAAAATGAACCTCGCTCCAATTAAGAGAGAATATAACAAAAAATTTTACCTAAGCATTAACAGTTTACCTTGGCATTTGCAGTTTACCTTAGCATTTGTAGTTTAGTCAAACCGTTATAAAACTATTGATAGAATTAATAAAAAAATTAAAGCACAATACAAACAGTCGAATATTATATGTCGTAGATTTATAGTATATCTAATTTTATCAATTATCATATGACAATCAAGTAATTTTTACCAAAATAGCGAATTATATATTTTACAGAAAACTATAAAATATTGATAAGGACATCAGAAAATATCTTTTAAAGTCATTGTGGGATGATAAAAATTAATTTTTAATATCATTTTTTATTTAAAATAAATAGAAATTGAATGCAAATTGTTGCTATATTTATTGTCAAGAGCATTTTAAAATGTTAACTGTAATATTTTCTCTAACTGTCAAATATGTCTATGTAAGTGGAATTTTACCTAGTATTTTGAAACTAATTCTATATAATAGAGGAATATCAACTATATGTCTACTTACTTTTTATAAATAAATTCCTTATACTTGTTTAGAATAAATTATTACCATCCTTTTGTATTAATGTATATACAGTAATTTATTATATTTTATATAAACTAATAAAAATATATTTCATATTTGTTCAAGGCTTATTTTTTTTATAAAAATTAACCTCCTATATTGTAAAAATATTTTATGACTATATATAGACTAAGGTAACTCGGCCGAAGGCCGGGCAAAAGCGTGCCGAAGGCCCCCCCCCAAATGGGGTCTGGGGGCGAAGCCCCCAATAATTTTTTAATTTCCCCCAGCCCTTATATAATATTTTTAACAAAAAAATATTAAAATGCAAATTTTATTAATTCAATATTAAATAATTATAAAAATACTAAGGCCAAATATCTTCAGGTATTTTTGTTGCAATTATAAACGTATGGGTAGTGTTGTTAAAAGTCGAGTCTCTAGTCATTAGTCGAATAAATCGACCAACTCAAGTCGTGAAATCAAGTCTATAAACTTGAGTCGACTAGAGGACGAATAGTTCTATAAACTTACTAGAGGACGAATAGTTCTATAAACTTAGTCCACCAGAGGACGAATAGTTCTATGAACTTAGTCGACTAGAGGACGAATAGTTCTATAAACTTAGTCGACCAGACGAATAGTTCTATGAACTTAGTCGACCAGACGAATAGTTCTATGAACTTAGTCGACTAGAGGACGAATAGTTCTATGAACTTGATTAGCTATTATTAACTAATAAAACATTTGTTCTGTTTTTTTTTAACTTTAGACTTTCAACTTGAGTCGTGAATACGAAATATATTTTAAGTACGAGAGGACGAATAGTTCTATGAACTTAAGTCGACTAAAGGAAGAATAATTCTATGAACTAGAGTCGACTAAAGGACGAAGATTTTAAATTAGTTAGTATTAATTATTAAAACATTTGTTTTTTTATTTTTAACTTTAGACTTCCAACTTGAGTCATTATACGAGTTATATATTTAAGTCGACTAGAAGACGAATAGTTGGGTCGTTTTTTCGAGTCAGACTCAAATATCGGGTCGTTTTTTACGACTTGAACTCAAAGTTGTGGTCATTTTATTTGATCCGATCTAAAATATGGGTCGTTTTTTAAAGGACTATCTATTGTTTGGGTTGCTTTTTTTTCATCTGACCCAATATCCAGATCATTTTTTCGACCAAAAGGCTTTTAAGGTTGACTTCATTAAATATAATAACAACATTTAGTATAGAATTATGGGCGGGTAAGTTATTTAAAGCTTCTTTAAATTATAATATTCTGACTTACTATTATTAATGGAATGGCTCATCGTTATTTTTTTAAACAGTGATGATGTAACATAAAAAAGTGACAATTGTCATAATCGTTATTTTTAAATTTTTATAAAGCAAATGAGTAAAAATAGATATTGTAAACAAGTTAAATTAAAATTTCAATAAAGAAGTACCATAAAAAGGTGACAATTGATTTTAAAAAGTGCGAGTGACCGCTTAAAAAAATTTAAATGAGGCATTTTGATGAAATAAATAGTAAAGGTATTTATGAAAATGTCTTGGAAAAAAGACACAATTCGCAAATATATTGAGCGTTAAATTACGTAACGAATTGTGTTGATTTACCATTATATTCAAAGATTTAATAGCAGAATTAAATGAAATGGACGACGATATCATATGTACAAATGAGGAGTTAAATGAAGAAGATGGACAATATGATTTGATAATAAATGTAATAAGTGTTTAATAGGCGTGTATGAAATCATTAAAAGTTACAATATGCACAAAAGTGTATACACTAATTTATTTTTGGCATATGATTATATTTTAATTTTGTCATTTGCGGAGGTTAATTGCGAGAGAACATTTAATAAATTAAAAAATTATAAAAAATGCTAATATAGACCAAGAAAAATTACAAGCGTTTTTAATTATGTCAGTTGAACGAGAACTATTAGGGCAGGTTAAACTAGAAGATATTCTTGTTTATTTGCTCAAAGTTAATGAGAGATTTATTAACCTAAAGATTATATATTATCTTAATTCTTTTAAATCTTATTTATATATATTTACAATATGATCGGTGCCTGATTTCATAAGTGCAGCAATTTTAATTTCTGCGCAATATTGTACAATTGCAATAATTTTATGTATTGATTTTATATATTGAGAATGTATTCTTTTATATTTAACAAAATCATTTGCACTTATTTTCAAAAATAAGAATAAAAATCTTTATGAAAAATAAAATATTATCAAAAATTTATTTACAAATAAAAAATAATTACTTTAAAAGAAATAAATATTGTTAATGGTGAAAAAAACAAGAAAATTTTACTTTTTTATAACTTTTTAAAATATAGCCCAAAATTTATTTTAAAAAAGATAGATTTATTTTGGGAGAAAGAAACAAGGGGAGAGATTGGTTATTTATTTTCTAAAATAATAATTTTAAAAAATATACAAAAAATTTGTGGTGCCAGCTAGGCGCTAAATTCATTCAAAATTAAAATAAGAAACATAATAATAATGTGTATTGTGATTTGATTTGTGACTAATGAATTGAATTAATTTAAATGTATTATTTTTTTTTAATCTTTTTTTTAAATATAATTGTAGAATTTTTAGAATAGAAATCCTTTATTTCCAAACAAAGGATATTAATTTATGGAATTTCGATTAGTTCATGTTAACAAAATTTCCGTTAAATAGAGTTTAAAATTCCTGAACCCGAATTAAATCCTAATTTGGCAATCTAGCAGATATTTTTCTCTTAATATTGTACAAAAGTTAAAAATAAAATGTTAAGATCTAAACATGTCCATTAAGAGAAATAAGATGGTCAACAATTTTATACGAGTAACCATATTTATTTTTTACCCCCGCTCCCAAGTCAAACTTATATACACCATATTTAGGTAGAACTAGACTTATTTGATACCAATCTATCATATCAATATTTGGTGCCGATAATGATCCTAGTCTACGTAGTAATTGAGAGAGGTGGGGCTTGGTTTGCTAATTATTCAATAGTTCTAATCAGCTATCGATTGATACCTCTAATAATCATATAATTATACCTCCATAATAAGGTCAAGAAAAAACAACTCAAAATATATTGGTTGTGCTTGTGGTTTGTGCTCATTGCTAGTTTAGTCGATTTTTAGACTTAAGCCACGGATCTGGGTTTTACACAATTAACCAATAAATAACACTTATATAAGTAATTGAGTTTCATAAAATTTAATATACTATTTATTGAGTTTAAGATTCAAGTTCATAACTCGAGTCGCGACTTGAGTTCATGACTTAAGTGAAACTCGACTTGAGTTTTGAGTCGAATTTTTTGACTAAAAACTCAACTTGAATTACTATTATAATTTTAGACTGACCCTCGCCAGATCAAAAACGCCACCTAGAATAGATGATTTTTTTGAAATAAATAATAATTAGGGATGTACCGATATTTTTTATCGGATCGGGCCGATATTTCACCAATTTTAAAATATCGGTTATCGGCTAATATAATTTTCCGATCCGATCCGATATAAAATGGCGTCTTTAACAAAATAAAATGTTATAAAATTTTTAAAAAAAGTTATATCTAAAATCATTTATTTTTATAAATAAAATCGTTTTATGTATATTTTTTTAATAATAATAATTAATTAATAAACATTCTGTCATATTGTTATTTTTTGTGAATTTTGTTTATAAAAGTGTGCGATAATCTCTTTAGAATCTGTTTTTAGTGAAGCTGGTAATATTGACAATTACTATCGCTGCAGGCTGACTTCTGGTAAATTGGAAATTTTGGTATTTCTAAAAAGAAATCCTCAATATATTAATGTTAAATATTTTTTAAATATTTATTTCAAATTTCATAATATATTTGTTTATTACTTATTATGTATATAGATTAATTTTACTTATTATATAAAAGTGGTTTAACAATAAAAATACTTTATATACTTTTAAAATTGCAATTGAATTGAATATAAACTATAACTGATCATTGTAATATATTTAAATGACATAAGCTATGGTATAGTTAAATTATAGATATTATACTAATAAAAAGTATATTAAAAATTAATTGGTATCTTTACAGAATATAAAATAAGATATGATATTCGATCCGTAATCGTCCAATATCAATTTAATATTGGGAATATCGGATTGGCTTCCAAAAAGTGGTATCAGTACACTTCTAATAAAAATACTATTGAAAATCCTTTAGATACATTTTTTTAAAACAAAAAATACTTAAATGAATATTCTTGATGATTTTTCTTATCTAAAAAAAGTTTAATTTAATACTGCATTCCTCTAAAGTGATTGTGTTTAACAACTATTTAGTCAAAACTTATACTTTCGATCATAGCTCTAGATTTGGGAATGACAGTATATAAATTATATTAATATTAAAATCTAATAAAAAATATATATATTTGAAATTGTAGTCATATTTTTATATCAATATTTTTTATTTCTGGAAATAGAGATATGTAAAAAATAGCTTTAACTATTTGTTACATCTTTTTAAAGTAGCTAATGGGGCACTACTTTTTTTCTAAAATAGGCAATAGTATGCTACTTTTAAAAGTAACATTTAACAACACCAAAGAATAGGCAAAATAGAATTTATTTCAAAAAACAAAGGGAAATAGGTTTTTAAAAAACAAACTTTAAAATGAGTTGGACAAAAAAATATCTTTGAGCTTGACTAAGTTTTTTTTAAATTTAACTGGACCAGTTTTTATCCAGGTCTGTAGGTTTCCAAATTTAATAAAGATAATAAATATTTGATAAATCAATCAAACTTCATTAGTAGGATCCCAGTTTAATCGACATAATGATTTTGCTACCCTATTATTATTTATTTTACAAGATAAAAAATAAAATTACTTCAAACTATTATATTTAGGTAATATGTTAAAGGTTTTTGTGCAATTCATACTTAAACAATCCCATATTTTTACAGTTCCATCACAACTTGAAGAAGCCTTTGAATAAATAAATATAAATTATATAATTTATATAATTACTAAAAATTCTGATTCATAACTCAAATCAAGAGATAAAATTGGAGCTTTATGCCCATCGAAAACTTTATGCAAATGAGTTTTAACATTTATTTGCTTTATTGAAAAATCACTGTAAAACAAAGCAATTATAGAGATAAATAACTAATCCACTCTAACCTAAATCCAACTATTATATAATTGAATATTTCATCTGGACACATATAACTAATATTATAGTTGTAAAGGCCAATTTGTTTTTGAAATTCTCCATTTTCTATACTATAAGAATTTATTATATTTTTATCATTTGCAATTAAAAAATTTCCATTCTATATAAAAACTATATAAAGTTCTTTAATTTAACATCTTACTAAAACTGTTAATGCCACAAGATTTTCGTTTAAATCATATTTAATGTTAGTACCATTAATATTTTTAACATGTACTACTCCTCCATTACCACAAGTTAATATAGAGCTTACCATTCATAAATATAAAGAAAGCAATTATGATAATAATACCTTTTCCTTATAAATAAAGAGGTAATACCTTTCATGTGTAATTCTTCACTAATTATCATTTCAAATTTTATTTTTTTCAGCGGGTAAAAAATTGGACCTAACTTAAAAGTGTTAATACATTTATTATATTATTTTTTTGAGTATAGAGGGTATAGAGTGCTTTTTAAAATGGCCATAAGGATTTATTAAATTATCATGTCAATATTTTTGTACATTCATTTATTCTCTAACACATGTGAATTAATATATCTAATTATTTATATCACTGAAGAAGTTGATTTTCTTATATATTTTTATCGATTTCTAAATCCTATGGCGAATAATAATACTCATGAACAGGGTTGCCATGTCTCCCCCCATCAGTGGGAGTCTCCCACAATTTTTTAAAAAAATTTCCAGAACATGACCGATACAAAGTTATATGATATTCTTGGTGTTAACAAAAATGCTTCAAAAAATGAGATTAAAAAGGTATATTTTAATAAATAGATTTAAATCTTTATTAATGATAAAAGCATTATAGAAAATTAGCCAAGGAATACCATCCAGATAAAAATCCTCATCATGGCGATAAAGTATAAAATATTTATTAAAAATATTTTCTCATTAATGACTAGTTTAAAGAACTTTCATTTGCGTACGAAGTATTGACTGACCCAAATAAAAGAGAAGTTTATGACACTCATGGTCTCCAAGGATTACAGGAAGGTGTTTCCTCATCTCACTCCCACAAAACTCCCACAATTAGAAATCTCCCACAAAAAGCTCCTACAATTTTTTAATTTCTCCCACAATTTTTTTTTTAGCATTTTAATGTTTTTAATATATAAATAATAATTTTGAGAGATAGTTGTTGTAAATATTTTTATTTATTAATCATAATTAATATTATTTTTTTTTTGTGTGAGTCATGAAATATTTTTTTTGGAGTTTTGTTTTTAATATTTTTTTTTAAAGTTTCGCGAACTCATCGTGACTAGTGTTGTTAAACGGCTCATTTTGAGCCGATTTTTTAAAACGGCTAACTCAATATTTTAGCCAGGAAAATATTGCCTAAGCCTCGAGATTTCGATAATATATGCCTAGACCTTTGTTCCTTCTATGAGCAAAATCTTGAGGCTTGCGTAATATTTTTCTGGACGAAATATTGAGTTAGCCGTTTTTAAAAATCAGCTCAAAATGAGCCATTTAACAACACTAATCGTGACCATTATCATAAATATTTTTAATATTTATTATAAAAAAAAAAAATAATAATAATCAGATATAAAAACCTGAAAAAGGTTAAAAAATTGTCATTATTATAATTATATATTTTTTTAAAAAAATTTCCTTTGAAAAAAAAGAAAATAAAGACGTTATATTGTAAAATCATTTGTTTTGAAAAGGTAAAAAAAAAATAAAGACTGTATTTTAAAATAATAAGAACTACCAAGTTGAAAGTTTCTAGCCATTAGAACTTTGAAATTGGTGCCGTGTTTACACAAAACAACCTGGTTAATGCGGTTGTCGTTTGAGTCTTCGAGTGAATTTTACATCGTCTTCATCGTCTACATCTACGGTAAAATATCATATAGTGATATTTGAGTCTTCGAGTGAATTTACAGCGTCTTCATCATCTACATCTACGGTAAAATATCATATAGTGATATTTGAGTCTTCGAGTGAATTTACAGCGTCTTCATCATCTACATCTACGGTAAAATATCATATAGTGATATTTGAGTCTTCGAGTTAATTTACAGTGTCTTCATCATCTACATCTACGGTAAAATATCATAGAGGGATATTTGAGACTACGAGTGAATTTTACATCGTCTACATCAACGGTAAAATATCATATAGGGATATTTGAAACTACGAGCAAATTTTACATCGTCTACATCAACGGTAAAATATCTAGGAAAAGTGTTAAAGGATTGTAAAACACATTTTTTTTTTAAAAAAAATAAATACACAGAGTGGCTAAATTGGACGTAAGTGCTGTCCATTTTTTTTTCTCTTTCTCTTCTCTAAAAAGTAAAAAAACTCTTATCGTACGGAAGTGCTGTCCGAATTTTACCAGTAGTGAATCTGTTACACAAAATTTGAAAAAAAAAAAAATCTTATCGTACGGAAGTGCTGTCCGAATTTTACCAGTTGTGAATCTGTTACACAAAATTTTCCCAAATTTTTGTCGTATCTTTAGACTTATTAACTGTAGATGTACATGTGTATCATTGGATTGTTTACACTCTTAATAATATCGTATCTATTGACATTACAAATAACCAAAATTTTTATTTTGAAATTAATTATAAATTTTTTATAACGTCGGAATGAAAAGTTTAAAATTTGTAAAATACTGGGAAATACAGTATAATATTTTTGGGACATTGGTTATATTAGTAATATGGATGTGTAGCTTAATATGGGGAAGAAAGTTGAGAAGGAGTCGAAGTGTGAGAATAAAGGGGCAGACATTGACGATAGAAGGACATAATGGAGAAGAAGATGTTATGGGAAAGGTAACATGGTTCCCGGTGCATGAGATAATTAATGGGTGGACGGATAGCGAAGTAGATAAATTAACCTATAGGCCTGAAAGGAGAGATGCATATACTAATCAGAGATTGGGGACATATAGGGGACCTAGAGAAAATTCTCAGGGAAGGAGAGGAGAAATGAGACCCAACTTTGATTCTAGAGTAAGGGGGAGAATGAATTGTTATAATTGCGTATGACAGGGACATATGGTCAGAGATTGCCAAGAAACAAAATGTTTTGAATGTAGAAAATATGGACATATAGCCCCGTTTTGTCCAGGAAGACGTGATAAACTACGATGTGCAGGTTGTGACCGATTTGGTCACAATAGGGAGGAATGCAATGTGGGTAATTTCAATACTAGAGGCGGTTTTCCACAGAGGGACATGGGGCAAAGTACTCCAAATGTTAGAATTATTAAAAGTAAAAAAAATAAAGAGGTAGAAATACCATTTTTGGCTGTGAATAAAGAGCAGAATAGAATCTGTTTCCGATGCTGGAAGGAAGGACATGGTGCGAGAGATTGCGAGTATTTGTGACTATATGATGGCAAAGAGCATGCCACAGAGGTCGGGGGGCTTTGGGCGAAAGAGATGGAAAGATCAGATTATAGTGAGAAAGATTGGGAATCAAAGGGCATAAATATGATACAAGAGGAAAGGATACATGATCCTTGCCCTAGAGTTTGGATAAATTTGAATGGAAATATGGTATCCATGTTATTTGATACCGGGGCAGCCATATCCGTGATGGGATATGAGAAATATCAGAGTATTTGGTCCGAATGGATAATTAGACGGGAGGACATCAAGATCCGTCTGGATGGATCAGAAGTCGCAGTGATGGGAAGGGTGGAGTTAAAGGTGGTATTAGAGAATAGAGTGGAGATTTTGGACTTATGGATAGTAGATCGAAAAGTAGAGTCAGTAGTGGGATGGGATTGGACCACCCGAATCGGTCCAGATTGTGGTTTTTGGGGGGTATTCCCATGGTGTAGTGTATTTCTACCTGTTGCAAGATGTGAAGAAAATAGAGATATGAATTTGTGGTATGGAGAAAGATTGCCAGGAATTGAGACCTTTTTGGAAGGTGAAAGGAGAGGAGAAGATGATGGGGTTGTTAGAGACTATAGGGGAGGTATTGGGAGGAATTATAGGGGAGATATCGGGGGGAATTATAGGGGAGATATCGGGGGGAATTATAGGGGAGATATCGGGGGGAATTATAGGGGAGGTATTGGGGGGAATTATAGGGGAGGTATGAATTATAGGGGAGGTATCGGGGGGAATTATAGGGGAGATATCGGGGGGAATTATAGAGGAGATATCGGGGGAATTATAGGGGAGGTATCGGGGGGAATTTTAGGATTTGTCGCGACTTTGGGAGAAAGGGAGGAAGAAATGATACCGAAGAACAGAAATAAATTCATGATCAAGGAAAGTTTGAAGCGGAGTTGGAGGAATTGGCAGATGGGAAGATAGTGTTGCCAGAAGAAGAAACTAGAGAAAATGATGATTTGGAACAAGGAAATACTAAGGGAACACATAGCCAGGAAATGGAAATGGATGGAAAGGAAACGAGACGACGGGAAGAGAGGGAATTGCGGAATAGAGAGATAGAATTTGGTATGATCAAAGTACAAGAGGGAGTGCGAAACTTGATGAAAAATTACAAGGAGATCTCTGATGAAAAGTTGGGTTGTCTCCGAGATTATGAAGTGGTTATCAAATTAAAGGAGGGATATGTGCCCAAGTTTTGTGCATTACGACGGATACCGTTCGAATGGCGAATTGAAGTAGACAAGGAATTGAAGCAGTGGGTGTAGAAGGGCATTGTTTGTCCAGTGGAGTATAGCGAGTGGGCGACACCGTTAGTACCCGTTAAGAATGCTAATGGAAAGCTTCGTTTATGCGCCGATTTTCGGGTCACGCTAAACCCGTGGGTCGTGGAGATAAAATATCCGTTACCTCGGATTGAAGAAATATTAGCTAATTTGAAGGGCAGCATATACTTTTCAAAGGTGGACTTTTCGAACGCTTACTTACAATTGAAGGTGAAACCCGAGGTACAAAAGCTATTAACGATCTCCGAAGGGATTGTACTTCTGTAGATTGCCGTTTGGACTTAGCGTGTTGGCTCCAATTTTTCAACGAACGATGGCGGCAGTGTTTCAGGGACTAGAGGGAGTATTTTACTACATGGATGACGTATTGGTGATGGGAGAGACTCCCGAGCAATACGAACGAAGATTGGAGGAGGTGTTCAAAAGGATCAAGGATAAAGGATTGCGGGAAAGCGTTGAAAAAAATGTGTTGGGAGTATCAGAAATCGTATAGGGGCATAAAATCAATAAGAAATAGGTCAGACCTTTGGACAAAAATATGGCAAATATAACAAGCATGGTGAAGCCTAATAATAAGGTGGAAGTACAAGCTTTCTTGGGAATGGTGAATTATTATCACCGTTTTGTGGAAGGTTTCGCGCAGATAGCGGCGCCGTTGTATAAATTGTTAAAGAAAGGAGAAAGATTTGAATGGAAGATTGAACAGGAGGAGGCTTTTGAGGAGTTGAAATTGAGAATTGGAAGGGAACCAGTACTAGTGTGTTTTGATAACGATTTGCCCACGCTTCGAATAGGGGTGTGGGTGGAGTGCTATTACATTGTATAGACGAATTGGAGAGACCTATTTTATTTTTTTCAAGAATTTTTAGAGAGGCCGAGACAAGATATTCAGTGATCGAGCAAGAAGCGCTAGCGGTTATATTTGGATTGACTAAATGTCGGGAATACTTGATCGGACGTCTATTTGTCATATATACGGATCACAAGCCCTTGGTTCATCTTTTCAGGAAGGACAACAAGGAACTCATGTTGTCGCCTAGGTTGCAGCGATGGCTGTTGCTGGTAGGCAGTTTCGACGTGCAAGTGAAATACCTGCGAGGAAGAGAAAATTACTTACCGGATATTCTTTCTAGATGTGGAGCGGGAGAGGATTGCGAAACGAGTAAGTCGAAAGATATGGATGAAGAGGATGAGCACGGGTTGATTAGAGCGATAGTCGGGATATGTAAAGGAGGACCAGTTGCGTGGGAATTACTCAAAAATGCTACTTTAAAAGATCGCGAGTTAACGAGAATCAAAGCGTGCATATTGGGTCGAAAACAATGGCGAGATGGGGACAAAAAGTTGAGGCAAGTGGAGAAAGCGCTAACGATAGTGGACGAGGGTGTGGTACGAGGAAGTCGGGGAGGGAGG